AGGCTTTTACCTTTTTTCTTCTTCTCTCATTTTCTTCTTCTCTCCTTTGTGAAGCTCCCCCACCCACACCCTAGCATTCTTCCTCCGTTTCCCTCTCCTTTGCATGGCTTCTTCCATTCGGCGTGGCCATCGGTTTTGGCAAAACCATTGCCAGCAACCTAATAGGGGAGAAAAAAAATTAGAGGGAGATTTGTGTGTGGAGGAGGCCAAAGAGAAGGTTTCTTATAATGAAATGTCTTCCCCTAAGAGTTAAATTATTAATCAAAATGTTCATGATAGTATTAGTTTTTGTATTTTATTCTTCTAGAATTTTTCTCCTAATCCATAAGACTCAAAATATGATCTGATCCCCACCCCTATTATCACAAGCCTCTGCCAACACACTCTTTGTGGAACCAAGAAGGGATCTCTGATACTTCAATCCATCGGAGATCTACTACTTATGGCGGTCGAATGCATCGCCTGGGGTTCATGGTGCTGGCGGCCAATGTTTGGTCCAAATCTCCTTCCTCTTCCTTTGCAATCTCATCATATTCAATATAGCAATGGTAAACTTCTTCCCCAATAGAAAACACTCTCCGGAGAGCATGGGCGAGCAGTGTTGCACAAAAGAGAATGTCATTCAAATGTTTATAAATTTTGTTAAAAATGTCATTGTCTTTTATTTTTTTCAATAATGTTATTGAATCTTGTAAAATGTTTAAAAATGTCACTCGAGTATTATGTTTGGTCAAAAGTGTCTGTAACACCTCAATTCGCATAACCTAGTTCACGCGGGTTAGCGGATAAGAGTGCTTGCAATTTGGTAAACTAACATCTCATAATTAAAGAAAAGTAAATTGGGTTACAATTTTGAAAAATTTAAAACATTATTTTCTCAACATGATAAAATAATTTTCGGAGTAAAATAAATTTTTTTTCAAAAAAAAAAAATTTTCGGAGTAATTTCATATAAACGCTGTGCAAGCTAAATAAGATTCAAAATATTTAAATATATGGGTTCAAGTCTCAAAGTATTTCAAAATATTAAAAGAGTTCCCGCATCGTTCTGCCAATTCTCCCACCTCAGCATCTTCCAGATAGACGTCATAGCTTTATTACCTATGCTCAGTCACACAACAAAGACAATTGTACGCTCAGCAAAACCACTGAGTGGTACCATAACGTAGGTTCTATAGAATAATTCATAATCATATATATTCAAGTTAAAGGAGAAAATATGTGAAGTCAATAAATCCCTTTTCATAGTTCAATCATATCTATATTAAAAGCTAGATTACAATCTTAATCATTTTTCCATCATTTAATTCCTTTAATCCTCACCCTTCCATAGAGTCAACCTCCATAGAGAAAGAACTCGATAAAACTTCCCCTGTGTGAGTTTGAGTCTGAGTTCCCTTCTCTTCAGGTTTAGAATTTGTTTCATCGCCTTTCCCAGTCTAGGTATAAGTACTCCTTTGGTTCCAGATAGACGAGTTGAGTGATCCCCTATCCCTTGACCAGTCTGGACCTAATATACGTGCATACTCAACTCTTAATATCTCTGACATCTATGCACTCAAATTCATAATATCTATTACTAGAAATAATCTAGTTTAACCATCGAAAACTATCTTTTGATCATTAGTACCACCATCATATTTATCACATTCATGGACTCAAACATATAAAGTGTTTCCATAAAGTCTCTAACATAATACTATCCTTAATCATTTATAAACATATTAAAATTAATCAGGTCATCTGCTTGTTCTTTTGCCGGGTTTTCTACATGGTTCACGGGACGTGACTGATTTCTCTGTCTGATATCCCAAGGAACCTCTTGTTGTTGTGAGGTTCCTATCTCCAGGCGTTACCTTGTTTTGGGCCAAGGCTTCACTGCTCAGGACGAAACTTCTCAGGTATCGCTGGTCATGAGGTCTTTGATGGCTAGTCGGAGGCCTCTCTAGTTATCTGTGTCATGACAGTGTGCCTTGTGATAACGACCAAATCTATCCAAGCCTTTGCCTAGGGTCCGACCGGTCTCCGTAGGGGGCACCAACACGTCCAACTTCTTGATTTGCTCATAAATCTGGGCAACATGCATGGTTATCGCGGTGAGATCCCTAGGGGACATTAGGTTACTGGACCCCACACCCTTCTCCTTGATGGCCGACGCATTCCCTTTGCCTCCATGTTTTGCTTTAGCAGTAGGTTTGCCATCGGATGCATCATTCGTCCTGGTCTCTTCTGCTTTCGTCTGTGCATACTGGTTGGCCTTCCTTAGCACCTCTTCGTACCCAGTGAGTGGCTTTCGCTTCAAGGCCCAGTATAGTTTCCAGTCTAGAGGGCGTTGGTGAATAGGGTTACAATAGTGGCATCGTCCAATGCATCCACCTAGAGGGTTTTGTCCCTCTACTGGATTAGGAAATACCTCAATGTCTCCTTTTCTTACTACCTCACCATCGAGAGCTACGAGAAATGTCTCTTTTGTTGGAAGCTCCCCACGAATTGGGCCTTGAACATAATGGCCAATTGCTCAAAACGATTGATGTTTGCCGGTCGAAGGGTGGTGAATCAATCATTAACCGAGCCCCTCAGGGTTCCAAAGAATAACCGACACAAGGCCCCATCAGGAGCCCAACTCATGATGAGACGGCCCTAGTATGATTGTAGGAAAGCTCGGGGGTTGGTGGTCCCATAGTACGTCAAGGATTGAGGGACTTTGGAATTTCTGGGGAGTTCCACCGCCATTACTCGTTCCGTAAAATGGGTGATGATGAGGTCGTCATCCTCATTAGGTCTAGCAATTTGATTAGCAAGATTTCAAACACCATTCTTAAACCTCTCCACTTCGGCATTCTGGGTCTGATAGCATCGTCAAACATCGGCTACGGCGGCTCCTCGAGTATCAACTTTGCTCTCGTGGGGTCCTAGTCCTCTGAGTTGGTCCCATGCCGATCCCTTTCCCATTTGAGAGAATACCAAAGTCCTTCACTGTGATCCCTCTGTCCACTAGGCCTCCTCATCAAGGTCTAGCATACGCTATATGGGGGATGGGGCACGCTCTCGATGGTTCATCCGACCTCGTCCTCATCCCATAGAGGCAGAACCGGATTGGCTAGCTTGCAGCGCCTGGCTCTCCTGGTGGGCCCCTCCATGGCTTGAGCTACCAAGTGTAACACCTCCAAGGTGGCCAGGACATCCTCTCGAATTAAGCCATAGAGTGGTGGGACACTTTTAACTTGGTTGTGTGTTCCCCTGGATAGCATTTGCGCCCTTGAAGAGGGAAATGAGGGCTGACCGTTGGTGGTCAAGCCCCGCCTCCTTGAGGACAAGGAATGCCGCAAGTCGGATGTAGTGGTCATCGACACACTGCCCCACGACGGGAAGTTGCTGGAGCTCCTACTGCTGGGGGTGTCAGATGTTTATGGCATCACGATTCGTGGGAGAAAGCTTTTTTAAACAGTCCCACGGATCACGCCAATGTTGGTGTTAATGTCGTGAGAGAGCCCAAAAGCTCAACATTGTCTTTTGGGCTTGGCTTAGCGTAGATGTCTTAGAATTGAGGAGCACCCGAGTCGGGGTCAGGAATAAGGAACTCTCTTTATTTTATTAATTGAATATTGGGATAAGAGGGTGTGGCTCAATTGCTTATCCCCGAATACAATAAGCGTGAATTTAGTACAATATCATTCTCATTTTCTCTCTCTAGGATGCAATCTCTTTCTTCGTTCCTTCCCTTTTCTTTTTTTAGAGGAGCTTTTGTGGGAGAATTGGTGGGAAAGCATGAATACTTCTACAGTAGGTGGCACTGTAGCATGCTTGCTGGTGGCGAGCATGTGTGTCAAACGTTGGCTCTATATTAATATTTTGTATGGAGGTCATGATGGGTAGTTGTGGCTGACATGATTGGTCCGACTTAGGATGGTTCTTGATTTACTCCTCGTCTGGATTTTAGGGCTAGGAGTGTTCATTCAATAAAACCGAACCAAAAAAATTTGGTAAACTAAAATTTCGGTAAATTATTTTTTGTACCAAATACCAAACCAAAAGAAAATGGATCAGTTCGGTAAAAACACAATTAAATAGGTTTGGTAATCGGTTTTACCAAAAACCGAACATAAACCAAAATTTGAACTTCAGAAAATCCATTATATTCTCCAAATTGAAAATAACAAAGCACAATCCATTAGATATGAGTTCATTACACACTCTAAAGTAAAAATAACACATCACAATTAGAACCATTACATAAAATAAATAAAATAGTTTATACAAATAACACAATTGTCCATTTTGAAAAATAAAAACATTTACCTATATTATTAATTTGATGCTTTCATGATTTCCAATCTTCAATAACTCCAAATTTAGATAAAAGGACTTAAAATTAGTGGGTTGGATATTCATTATTTCAATATTGGGCTAAATACTTGGTATTGGATTGAGTAGAAATGTGTAAAATTATACATAAGTATTAAATAATTTTGGTCTTCGGTTTTTACCGAAATACCGGCTCCAAATTTTCTACCGAACCGAAAACCAATTTTTTCAAAATATGAGAACCGAATATCGAATCGAATTATTTGGTTCGGTTTCGGTACGTACCAAATTTTCGGTTTCGGTTCAGTTCGGTTTACCAAATTGTGCACACCCATATTTTGGGCGGTTCTTAACGTGCCCAAGCATGTCCCAACGGACTACCAGGACATTGGTTATAGCCCGAGCTCGACTGTTGATTGGGATACATGTCGATCGGTCAGTGTCTATCATCGAAGCGCGAATTATTTGAGCTAGCCCGTGGCTATTGGGCCTTTTCCCCAACAACACTTTTACTACAGCAAAGTTTTTAAGGCCCCGTTCCGTTCAAATTATTTTTTTCTTATTTTATTAAAACCAGATCAGATCGAATCAGATCAGATCGGATCAAATTAGATCAGATCTGATCAGATCAGACCAGATCAGATTAGATCCCATCAAGAATTATTATTATTATTTTTATTATTATTATTATTATTATTATCATCATCATCATCATCATCATTATTATTATTATTATTATTAAAAATGAAAAAGAATAAACTTTAGAAACAAGTTAAATAGAAAACTGAGAAAGTAATCCTTAATTATTAAACGTCAGAAAAATTATTTTTAAAGTACATTGATAATGTTAATCTAATTCTACTTTTAAAATACATTTTTATTGCGACTTGTAATTTGAGTTTATAAAGTTTTGATCTTTTATAAGGATGAAATATTTTAATAAAAATACTATCTCTTCTATATATTGATTATCTAAATTTAATTACTTTTTAATGTATATATAAATTAAATATTTATTCTAATGTATATATGAAGTAATTATTAAAATATTAAATTAATATTCTAATTTCACAAAAAAATAATCATAAAATAAAAAGTACTCCGTATTATTATATTATACTCCGTAATATGAATGATTATTCTAATATATGAATTAACTAATTTTATTTTATTAAAAAATAATCATAAAATAAAAAATATTGATTATATTATAATATGAATTATCATTACAATTTTCAAACATTATTATAAAGTCAAATCAAATTATTAATTTGAATTTTAAATCAAATCATTATTAATCAGATCTGATCAGACTAGATTAGATCAGATCTAATCAGATCAGATCTGATCAGAACTTATCAAAATCAGATCAGATCAGAAAAAATAAATTAAAGAAAACGGAGCCTAACTAGAGGTATATAAGTATTTCAACATGTTCGGGTACCACCACTGCGTATTATTTCCGTTTTTACTTAGAATTGAGAAATAAACTAACAAAGGGCTGTCTTATCAAAAATAATCAAAGGGAAGAATAACGAGACACACATTGAATGGTAGAATTCACCTAATAAACTAACAATGATTTTTTGTGCTCTGATGTTCAATCTTGGTATGATCATTTGACCTCAATTAACATTTTCCTTCGAAAAAATAAAGACTAAATTGGTCGCCTTCCTCATTACTTACACTATCTGCAATGAGGAGAGGCATGATACTCTTTCGCGCTGCACCACGCCCAAATTGTCGTGCCTCCTTCCGTTTGTGACCCGAAAGGGGTGACCACCATCAGAGCGTTGCCTCTCCCTTTGTTTTTATTTTTTTAAATCTCAAACCAATCAAGAATTAACGCAGACACTTCTATTTCAACCAATTATGATAACACACGCCTTCAGACCCACTACTCAACGTCATACTTCTTTACACATCATCAAGCCTCCGTCAAGCCCCCCCATTACACATGACCTTGGGAGAAGGTTTATAGGTGGTCAAGTCGTGCAAGAGGGAGTCCAAAGAAGAGATGGAGGAACCGCCTGGCTCTATAGCTCTGAGCGCTTTTTCCTTCAACCTTCTAGCCCGCCCCCTTAACTCCTCCGATTCCACACCGGACATGACTCTCTTCACCGCCTCCGCCACGTCCTCGCCCTTCACGCCGTCCGTCACCCGGCTCCACTCTTTCGCCCCAACCCCTACCCCAACCTCCAGCACCTGACACACCAGCTTCTCGTTGAAGAACTGCTCGGCGTAGAGAGGCCACGTCACCATGGGCACACCCGCGCATATCCCCTCCAGCGTCGAGTTCCAGCCGCAGTGCGTCATGAACGCGCCGGTGGAGCCGTGGTCGAGAACCAGCACCTGCGGGGCCCACCCTCTCACGATCAGCCCTTTCCCTTCCACCCTCTCTTCGTATCCTTCCGGGAGCCATCCTTCGTCGTCTTTCCCCTTCCGCACCACCCATATGAATTGGTGCCCGGACGCCTCTAGGCCCATTGCAAGCTCGCGTAGTTGCGAAGCCGTGAAGTTTGACATGCTTCCAAAGCATATGTAGATCACCTATGCATAAAATTGAAAGGACACCATTAATTCAGAGATGAAATTGTAACCATTTGGAGCAACTAAATGATGGTTACCACTCCCCTGATAAGCTCAGCATGGCCGGACCCGAATCCACACAAACCCTTGAGTTGCACCTAAAACGGAGGCCACTGGTACTCTGTTCGTAAAATTGACGGTTACTACCCCCTAATCCCCTAAACCCCCCACCCTACTGAAAGCCTCCACAAAATGTGTGACTAGCAATCATAAGGTCACACATTTTGTGGGGGGCTTACGGCGGGATTGGGGTGAGGGTGCAGGGACGGGGTAGGATAGGGGATGGATTAGGAGAGAGAATCGTCAATTTTACACACAGAACACCAAAAGTGCCCCAAAATGACAGTGTTACTACTTACTAGAACCCACTCATTTATCTCAATATGACTCGTCTTGTTATTTGGAAAGAGTTAATTGTCATCATCTCACTTCATATTTGGTGCTCATAGAATTTACCCACTCTGTATAAGAAACTTGGATTAAACACAAAAAAATAACTCTAATCAATTCATTCAATTGGTTTGTGCTTTTTTGGTAAATGTACCCCTTGGCCACGCCCCATAAGTCCAAAAAGTAAAATGAAAATTATTATTTTTTTGATTTTGAATTAAATATCACTGAAATCACATCCCTATTTAAAATAAAAATTATAGAATACACTCTATGCAACTAGATTAAATAATTCGTGTATTTTTTCAGTGGATAAATTTTTAGGTAGCACTGAAGTAATTTATTAATTAATATAATATTATTCATCTACCATTGTATTTAAAATCTGAATTTTTGCAATATTTTCTAGATGTGGGGCTTAAAATAAAACGAACACTTCAAGTCTTTTTGGTCCCCCACAGTTATTTAAGTTATTTATTTTCATTAATCTGAAATATCGAAGCAGTCATCTCCAATAAAAAAATGCTTAATTTTATTAGTCTTATTTGTATTGATTCTGTCCTGTATTCGAATAGTCTAGTCTTCAGCAAATTGCCCGAAGCCTATTCTTTTTTAACTCCACTCGTCAATTTTATGCCGGTCATACCTGTGCTCTTTTTTCTCTTCGCATTTGTTTGGCAGGCAGTGTATCTTGTATTGACCGACAGATGAGAATGATAATTGAATGCTTATTACCTTTTCTTTTTTTAACTTTTGATGTGAGAAAATTCTAGCAAAAAATTGATTAAAAAATATTATCTCCGTCCCAAACTAAATTGGTATTTACCAATTTATATGATCAAACTGTATTCACTTTTTTCCTTATTTTCATTATTAATTTGATTAAAATAATGTAATATGTTATCACTAATTTTTTAAATCTTTTTTATGTAGTTTTTAAATATGTAATTTTTATTTTTTAGTTAATCACTAATTTTTATATAAAATAATTTAAAAATAATTTTAATTAAATATCATAAATGTTATACAAATTGGGAGAAAATTCATAAGACGTCCACAATACGCGTCATTCAATTCTTGGGGGTGTGGTTTGAAACTAAATGGACAGCCGTAAATGTCAATTTAAATCTAGACGATGGACACCCCTCCTCAAACTAAAGCTCAAAATAGATTGACAACAACCTAATAAAGACTACGGCCAAAGATTAGACAAGTGTCACTCGTGAAATTTTTGGTTCTATATACTCCGTATAAACCTAAAAATATGATTTGTTCTTAGGAAATTCATGTCTTTGAGGGGCATAATCCAAATACTTTCTCCGTCTCAAAATTATCTTTCATATCTAATTTGACACAATTTTTAATAAAATAAAACATTGGTGATTTAGTTTGAGCAGAAGAAAGTGAATTGATATGAACTACATATGGAAAGAGGAAGAAAATTTTGGAACAACTCAAATAGAAAAGAAGGAAAATAATTATAGAACGGAAGGAGTATATATTATTAAGAGTGTGTTTGACAAATCTCAAGTTTTTTAAACTTTAGACTTAACTAATTTTAAGGAATGTAATTGAAGGGATAGAGGAGTTCGGGTCGGACCAAGATGGAAAGATTGCCGGGCATTAAAACGCGTAGAGATCATCAATTTTATAAATTGTGTAACGTATGTGCACCAATTTGGGCTCATGTCATGCCATTACATTGAATGACATTATCATTGGAACTCTCCCTTGGGTTAAACTGTACAGAAAATAACTCAAACAATTGGTTAGTTCATTTTTTATTATGATGAATCTAAGGTCCCACGTGCCCTTAAAAATTGAATGTTGTAACCAAACTGATTGACAATAAATCCACCAAATAATTCGGTTCAGAGAACGGATCGCAAGAACAAAATTAAGAACGAGAATTCGAGAATTGAGTATGTATTATTAGCTTGATCTAGCTTGAATTCTCCCCTTTCGGGTCCCCTCTATTTATACATGAGTTTGGAATAATTAAGGTAATACATGATCAAAGGAGTTTATCCCGTCAATGGCGCGATCCTTTTTTTCCGGCTCCGTAACCGCCATTCTGCTCCGCCTTCTTCTCCGGATTAACTATGCCAGCCGCCCTTGGGCTGGATCTAACCGGGCTTAGCCTCATGGGCCGGCCCAAGCCTAAGTGTTCCCCAAGTGTTTGACCCGAGATTACTTAAATGGCTCATTTAGGCCACCCATTGGATATCGGCCCATCACAAGCCCCCCAACTCCTCATTCCTCGACTGGGCTATGTTGAGGGATGGGGAGTTTACGAAGTCCACGTGGGTGCTCCAGCGTGGATCCGGGCCATTCCTTGGGTTCTGCGTGACGTTTGGGCACGATCTCCATGAATAGGTAATCATGACCTGCTGTTTCGCCTTCCCATTGTCACTTAAAAACCGCCGCTGGACGCCATCTCTTTCTTCCTCCTTCTCTATCATCACTCGTCTGTGATTCCGCTGCTACCCGACCCGGTTTTCTCCCTTTCCAGGTCAGTTCCTTTTCTCGCCGCCATGATTGTTTCAGACTCCGATTCGGCTACCCCATTGTCCAATTCTCGCCAAGCCGATCAATCGGCCTCTGGTTGTAACCCCTGCCACACTCAATCGTCCCAGCCGTCGCTGTCGGTCGTGCCTGGCCAAAAACGGCACCGATTAAGGAAGCAATTCCCTTCCTCAACCCCGGTAGATAAGGGCTCGAGGGTTAGATTGGACGAAAACATCATGGCGCTGTGCCATTGCCAAATTACTGACCGGGGGTTCGCCGATGCTACAGATATGGTTGGACCTTCCATCGAGGTCCTGAGACCTACTAGCACCCAAACCGCCCTAGACGCTCCTTCAGGGTTCTTCACGGTCCACCTGGTGTCTTTAAGGAAGGGGCTGCGCTTCTCACTCCATTCGTTGCTGATCGAATTCCTCAACGTAGTGGACCTCCTTCCTTGCCAGTTGGTCCCCAACTCTCATCGGTACATCGCCGGTTATCTGGTTCGGTGCAAGGATGTAGGGGTGAAGCCAACCTTGGACAATTTCTTATTTACCTTCAAGCTGACCAAGGGCCATAAGGATTGGGCGTCCTATGCCAGCCTTTCCCAGAGGTCCTGTAAACTCTTCGCCAGTGACAAGAATGGGTCAACCAAAGACTGGAAGCCTTTCTTTGTTTTTGTTTTGACGGGGCCCGAATCTCCTTTCACAGGTTCTAGGTGCCCTTCTTTCCGTCGCGTCCCATGCCCCCCGCCTGATGCCACCCTTTTGTCCATCACTCGCCAACTATGCAACAAGGGAGTCATGAACATCAAAGAGGTGGTGACAGAGGAAACCCTTTCCGGGTTGGGGTTTGAGTTCGTCCAGGATGAGCTTCGTCATCAACCTGACCTGCTGAGGGACATTCCCGGGGGGTACCAGCCTGACCAGCTGAAGGACATTCCTGAGGAAGGTCTTGATTGTGGTCCCTTTGGTAACTGACCTTCTCTTTGTCAAAACGTTTTATTTTATCCCTTTCGAAGCTAACCATTTTCCCCTTTGAGAGCCGGCTGTGATTGTGGTGGAGGACCAGGATGATGCTGCCCTGGAAACGGGTACGCTAGCGAGTCATTCCCCCCCGCACTCTGTGATGCCGGGTGGCGACCTCGCTGGGTCGTCCCAGGGTGTCGCCTGCAGTGACCTACGAGGTGGAGACCGGGGGTCGCTCGACGAGGCTCTGCATTCCTCCTCCGCCCCAAAGTCTAGGGGACGTGCAGCTAGAGACCCTGATCACTCTGCCCGCAGAGGACCAAGCCCGCATTTCTGCTGGTTCTGAGGACAACCTTGACAACATGGTCCTCTTAAGGCTAAGCCAGGTACTTGTCTTGATCTCCTATACACCATTCCTTCCTTTCGCGTTCCTCACCTTCATGCTTTGGTGTAGGCCACGTTAGGGATGACTGAGGTGGTCGGCAGGAAACGGAGCCGACAAGCTGCCTTAGATGAAGCGATGAGGGCAGCGGAGGCCAAGCAGAAGGAGTTGCAAGAAGAGGTCGCCCGCCTTACAAGGGAGCTGGAGGAGAAAGAGAGTCGTTGTGCCACGCTCGTTGTGGAGAAAGCTTCCCAGGAGGATCGTTGCATCACTCTTGAGGCGGACAAGGTCTCCTTGTCCTTAGAGGTAGAATCCGTCTCTGCTCGCGTCGTCGAGCTGGAAAGGGAGAAGTCCGACCTGATCCAGCAACTGGAGATGGAGAGGAGCGACTGGGTCCGCCACGCAGAGGAAGCAGTAGAATCCTTTAAGTCCTCTCCTGATTTTACAACGGTCGCTCTGGAGTGGATGGATAAGGTGACAGCTGAGTGGCTCAAAACTGAACCTAGGGCCCAATGGATGGTCAATGAGGGGATCAAGTCCTTCACTTGTGGACTCTTTCGTGCCCAACAAGTCTTCCGTGACAGGCTAGCTCAGCTCCCCAAAGGATTCTCTCTCCCCGACCTTGGCTTTCCCCCTCCCTGTCGCTCCTTGGCCGAGTTCGACCCCATTCCTTACTTGGACAGAGGGAGCTCGGGCGCCTGTGAAGAAGAAGAAGGAGGAGGAGGAGGAGGAGAAGAAGATGGTCAAGGCGACCAAAATCCGGGGGCTAGCTTAGCCACGTCCAAGGCGGGTGGATCCCAGGAACACTCCCCACTTGCTGACCCGCGACGGGGCATTTGGGCTTCGAAGAAGTGTTCCGATTGGAATTTGAGATAACACATGGACCGGATGGGCTTGAAAATATGGGGTGAGCTTCCTCACTGTACACACCACCGCGAAGATGGTTTTTTCCATGTTTGTATATCTTAGCTCAGGCCCTCGCAACACCCTGGCCACATAGTACACTGGTCGCTGTGTGCCCTCCTCCTCCCTCACTAGCACCGAGCTCACAGCTCGAGGAGAGATCCCTAAGTATAGGAATAGGGTATTTCGGGCTCTGGCTTTGAAAGCACCAGTGGGGAGAGGAGGTATGCCTTCAGCCCTTCAAAGGACCATTGGCATTCTTCGGTCTAGATAAACCCTTTGTTCTTCTTAATGGTCTGAAAGAAAGGTGCCGCTCGATCAGCTATCTTCGACAAGAAGCGACTGAGAGCCGCAATCCTGCCGGTGAGCTGCTGGACTTCCTTCACATTTTTCGGAGGCTCCATCTCCAATATTGCCCTCACCTTCTCCGGATTAGGCTCAATCCCTCTTCGGCTGACCATATGTCCTAGAAACTTAACCCCCGAACCCCGAATGTACGCTTCTTGGGATTAAGGCGGAGCTAGAACTTCTTCATGATCTTAAAGAACTTCTCTAAATCTTCGGCGTGGGACTCCATTTGCTTGGACTTGACGATCATATCGTCCACATACGCATCCATACATCCCCCTAACACCGGCACAAACAATTTGTTGACCATCCGCGCATAGGTCGCTCCGGCATTCTTCAAGCCAAATGGCATTACCCTGTAGCAGTACACCCCATTAGGGGTGATGAAAGCGGTCTTCTCTTCATCTGCTGCAGACATTTTGATTTGATGATACCCACTAAATGCATCCATAAAACTCATCAGCTCACACCCTGTCGTCTCATCAACCAACTGATCAATGTTGGGGAGTGGGAAAGGATCCATTGGGCAGGCTTTATTTAGGTCGGTGTAATCGACGCACATCCGACAGGTATTCCCTTTGGGTGCGAGGACTACATTCGCTAACCATTCCGGATAGCGGACTTCCCGAATGTGCCCAATGGACTGCAGGGTTGTCACCTGTTTGGTGACAAACTCTCTCCGTTCTGAAGAAAGGAAACGTTTCTTCTCCTTGACCGGCTTGTGGGTTGGGTCTACTGCCAACCTATGGTAGATGATCTTTGGGTCGACCCCGGGAATATCTGCTGGGCCCCAAGCGAACAGCACCTTGAATGCTTGGATGACCTCCAACAGTTGTTTCTTTAACCTAGGCGGTAAAGTTTTACCTACCTTTACCTTCTGCTCTGGCTTGACCGGATCCAATGGAACTTCTTCGACTTCTTCCGCTAGCTCAGCTCGAGGTCGCCCCTCTTCCTTCTAGATTGCAGCATAGATCGTGCTCACATTCTCGTCGACCCGTGCTTGGCTTTTGGTCGCCCTAACGTAACACGACCGTGACAGGCTTTGATTCCCCTTTGCCACCCCCACCCCTGTGGGGGTGTTGAACTTAAGGCACACGTGGACGGGGGAGATTACGCACTCCAGGTCCTCCAACCATGGTCGTCCCAGAATCGTGCACAGTCGAGCTGCACTACCATGAATTCCATGTCGATCCAGAGTCGGTGGGTTCCATCTCCTACCCCGGCCTTCACCGTGATAGTTCCTTCATCTTCGATGGTATCTCCTGTGAACCCTGATAGTGGCGTATGGATTGGCTTCAGGTCGCTTCGAGACAACCCCAACTCCTTAAAGGTGTTGCTGTACATAACATTGACCGAGCTGCACGTATCAACCAAAGTTCGGTGGACAACCACATTATTGATTTCCACCTTTATCGCGAGAGCGTCCCTGTGAGGGCTAAGGACTGGTGGATAATCCTCGTCTGTGAAAATCAGAGGTTCCTTCTTCTTCCGCTTAGGTAGCGGCGGCCTTTGCACATCGGCCAGGTACACCATGTTCTTCCACTTCTTCCGTGAGGACACCGAATCTCCTCTAGTGTTTCCTCCCATGATGAATCGACACCCTAGGTGTTGGCGGCCCTGCCTTTCCTCCTCATCCAGGTCGTCACAATCTATCCCCAAATGTCGTCGTCCATCCTCCTGACCTTCTCCTGCTGTAATCGCTGCTGTGGGGGGTGCCGGTCTTCTCCAAGTTCGGTTACTTGAGGATGGTCGCTCCGATCAAGGAGGCGGCCCCCTGGCGATCAACTGATCCATCTCCTTTTTCAGTGTAACGCACTCCGACGTGTTGTGGGTGCTGTTACGGTGGTACTCGCAGTATTTGGGTGCTTCTTGCACACCATAGCTTTCCCGACTGCAAGGAAGGGCAGGCAAAGACTGCACCGCATGAACATGATGTCTGTTCGCATGAAACCCGGTGGGGTTTGGCCCCTTACCGTAATCCTTCCTTTTCTTTCCTTCTACCACCGGTGGCCCGCTTTTCTTCTCCTTCCGGACTGGTGGCTCAACGTCTTCCTCTTCCAACGCCAGGTATTTCGCCCTGGCCAACATCTCCTGATAGGTCGAGAGTGGATTTCGTCGCAGCTCCTTGCGCACATCCCCTTGGGGGAGTGCAGCTTGGAGCATGGCGATCAGGGCTTGGTCGTCCGCTCCTTGGACGTCCCTGGCCTCCTTCTCGCACCTATTAACGAATTCCCGGAGCTGCCCTCCCTTCCGAATCTTCCGAATCTTCACATTGGACGCGAAGTGCTCTAAGAACTTGTGGGCCAGGTCGCTCCACTTATCTACCGATCCCTTGGGCAGCTTGTGGAACCATTCACAAGCCTGCCCTTCCAGTGTCGCTAGGAAGCATCGACACTTGATTTCTTCTGGATATGCATACATGACCACGTTTGCTCCAAAACGAGCAAGGTGGTCCTGGGGGTCAGTAGTCCCATTGTACGCTTTGATCTAGGGAGTTTTGAAGTTGTCCGGAAGAGGACAAGACATTATCCTCCTGGGGAAGGGTGTTACCTCACTGAAGACCGCCTGGCGGTAGGGGTTTTGGGCGTCCAGCCGCTTCTCTAATTGCTCGTACATTCTCCACAGCTCGGCTTCACCCTTATCCTCGACTGTCCTTCGTCGCTCCCCAGAACCGATCTTGGAGGTCGCTGTGGACTCCCCTCTTCTCTCTTTGAGCGTATCCCTCAAATCGCCTTTACGGGCCAATCGAGTGTCTTGCAACCGCTCAAACGCAGAGGTCCGGGGTTTCTTTGACTTGGGATCTCCCAAGCAGTCAAAAGCGGACATCCGCTCGAAAGAGGACGACTCGTCTTCTTCGTCGAGTCTGGACAGCTCATCTTCCATCATAGCCTTCCCATTAGGCTTGGTCGCTTTCTTCTTCTGGGATCGCCTTACTTTCTTCTATTTTCCCTGGGAGCCCGTAGGTCCAGCCTTTCTGCCTGTGGGTCCCATAACCACATCTTCCACCACAATCTCGCGATTGGGCGTCAGTACCGCCAGCACCTCCTTGAACTGTTCAGCCGTGATCCCGACCCTCTGGATGAGGGCCTCTGTTTCCACCATGGTGATGGGGGGGTGCCGGCCTCCAGTGGCGCTGTTTTCTCCCTGGTGGGGAGCTCTGATACCTGCGTTAGCATTGCTGCGTGTTTGCACCATCGTCTTTGCGGAGGGTTTCCTCTGAGTATATGATCCTCGAACTCTCAATGAGAGCACCAATTTGATGGACAATAAATCCACCAAATAATCAGGTTCAGAGAACGGATCACAAGAACAAAATTAAGAACGAGAATTCGAGAATTGAGTATGTATTATTAGCTTGATCTAGCTTGAATTCTCCCTTTTCGGGTCCCCTCTATTTATACATGAGTTCTGAATAATTAAGGTAATACATGATCAAAGGAGTTTATCCCGTCAATGGCACGATCCTCTTTTTCCGGCTCCGTAACCGCCATTCTGCTCCGCCTTCTTCTCCGGATTAACTATGCCAGCTGCCCTTGGGCTGGAGCTAACCGGGCTTAGCCTCATGGGCCGGCCCAAGCCTAAGTGTTCCCCAAGTGTTTGACCCGAGATTACTTAAATGGCTCATTTAGGCCGCCTATTGGATATCGGCCCATCACAAACATTTACAATCCTTTTTTTTTGCAAAAAATCAATAAAACTAAAAATTAACAAATGTCATTCATTCTTGAGCCAACGTTCCAGTGACACCGGAGAACGGTGCCACTCCGGTGCCACTAGGTTTTTGGGACATCTCCAGTGCTCCGTTCGTAAAATTGACGGTTTCTACCCCCTAATCCACCCCCTAAACCCCCATTTTATCCCCACCCCTGCACCCCCGCCCCAACCCCGCCCTAACCCCCCCCCCACAAAATGTGTGGCTATTATGCATTGCATAATAGCCACACATTTTGTGGGGGGGGTTAGGGCGGGGTTGGGGCGGGGGTGCAGGGGTGGGGATAAAATGGGGGTTTAGGGGGTGGATTAGGGGGTAGAAACCGTCAATTTTATGAACGGAGCACCGGAGATGCCTCAAAAACCCAATGGCACTGCTAATAGCATCGTTCTCCAGTGTCACTAGAACCGGGCCGTTCATTCTTTCTACCGACTGTGGTTTGAAAAGCTAAGTGGACAACCGTAAATGTCAATTTGTACTTTGTAGACCATGGACCCCTCTTGGAACTAAAACTCACAAAGGAATGACAACGACCTAAAAAAACTACAGTCAAAGATCAGACAAGTGTCACTCGTTTCCAAATTCCAATACGATTTTTTTTTATTCAAATAAATTCTACTCGTAAAAATGATTCTTAATAAATAGTAATTCTTAATAAATCCATGTCACCACACGGTGAAATGGATTATTTTAACCAATAAAAAGTATCTCAGTCACCGTGTGGCAAATGAGTGGGGTGTCGTAACATACAGTGATAAGTCGTTGTTTTTGTCTATTTTTGCACTTTTTAATGATTTTTAATTATAAAAAACTATTTTAAAAATTTATTTTATTATTAAAATATGTTTACTTTTTTAAAAAAATATTTTTTTCAAAAATTTAAAATATTAAAAATATTAAAAAAATAAAAAATGAGAGAGTCATGTCTTGCACATGGAATGAAAAGTGAGGTGGAATGGTCATGAAATGCCATGATTTGAGTAGAATTTGCTTACATGGCAAGGCAAGGCAAGGCACTGCCTTGCCATTGTGAATGCTCTAATAGTCTCGAGAGAGTCGAGTAGACTCGGGGCATCTTCAATAAGAGTCTTGAGAGAGACGAAGAGAGTCTTTGAAATCTTAGACCCACTAAGTCAATGTAATTCATCTAATAAAAATGAGATATGTGTAATCAACAACAATTATATTCAAAAACAAAAAACTTGTTACAATTATGTTGAAAGATAAAACAAAACACGTAGAACCATTTTTTGTACATACAAAATAAAACCAAAAAATTTAAAATCGATACTTTAAAACCAATTATTTTAGGTAGTGTTTGGAAACTAGTATTTCATTTCAATTCATGCATTTCAATTCCAAAATTTGAAATCTTGAATTTCAAATGACAAGGGGAGTTGCATGAATTTTAAATCCATCTTTGTTATTAATGAGAGAAATTTGAATCAAATCCAAATCTAACATTTTTAAGTTTCTCAAACATGAAATTTTAGCCAAATCCGTATTTGAAATTTAAATCCATGTTCCCAAACATAACATTATGTAATTTATGCATTAACTTTAATTTTTTATCAAACTTGGGATTTTTTTAAAAAAGTTTTTATTTTTTTGTAAATTTGGGCTAGGTTAATTTTTTTTTTATTTGTTTAATTTTTTTTTATTTTCTTGCCTTTTTTTATGATGGTGGAGGGGGTAAGGGATAAATGGGGTACCACTCAGATTTTTTTTTTATTTCAAAAGTGTGTCGGGTGAGTCTAGTGACTTTAGTTAGTCCAAAGAATTTAGAAACTACTTTGTTTTAGTTGTTTTTTGAAAGCGAGAAAGGATTTAGTTGACCATACCGAATTGGGCTTCTTGGAGTCGAGCCATTTGAGGGAGTCATGTCGAGGTCCTTCGCAATCTGATGAGGGGGGCGTCAAAGGCGCAATTGCTGCGATTTCCTTCCTCGCGGCTCTCTCTTTAATTTTGGCGTCACAGCGCAAAAGAGGGCCAATATGCCACGCCCTTTTCCCCAACACCTTCCCGTAGTACTCCGCGTAATCCGCCTCCAGTTCGCACACGCTGTTGACCACCACCCCGAAGCTTCTCGCCTCTGATTCCTTGATTCTCCGGTGCAATTCCGCCATGAAACTCTCCGATCCGTTCCGGTCGTGCGGCGCCAGCTGAGATCTGGTCAGCCTGATCTCGTGGGGGAGGTGGGGCACCAGGAACGGCTCCGAATCGGATGGGACGCTCCTGTGGGGCATGTATGTCCGGACGACCTCCGCCGCGCACAGCGCGAAGTAGCTTATCCCGTGGAACACCAGCCTGGGGATGTCGAATTTCGCCGCCGCGGCGGTGGCCCACGGGAAGAACATGTCGGCGACGAGGGCGGTGGGCCGGACCTCCTGGAGGAGAAGCTCGAGGGGTGCCTGGAGCATGGCCGTGGCCCGGAAGAAGTTGGGGATTAAATCCTCCGAAGCCACCTGGTCAATCCTCTCGCAGCCTTCGGGCAATCCGGCCTCCGCGGCCGGGAATGGGATGGCCCGGACGGAGATGTCCATCCCGAGGTGGTTTGTTTCTTGGATGGATTTGGTGAGGGAGGGGAGGTTGAGAGGGGTGGTGATGACGGTGGCCTTGGCGCCGCCGCGGTAGACGAAAAGCTTGGCCATGTCCAAGGTTGGGATGATATGGCCCTGAGCCATCATCGGAAAGAAGAATACATGGAACTGCCCCATTTCTGCTACTAGTACTTCTGAGAATTAATCTGGCCGGAACTACTACCAAGCATAAGCATGCATATATATATATACACACACACACACACACACTCTCTCTCTCTCCGTCCCAAAATATCCCAAAATATAAGCAACACTCCACTATTTAAAAATCGCGAGAACTTTTATTTAATTTTCCATTTTCATTGATTATTTGATAGAATAAAATATTCTTGTCACCACTTGTTTTGTAGAACTTTTGACGTAGTTTTTAAATATATAAGTTTATTTTTCATTTGTACACCATTCTTTAAATAAAATGGATTGAAAAAATTTAAAATACTACTTCGTTTAGCGTAATGTTGCTTATATTTTGGGACGGAGTGAGTATATATTCAACTCACATTAAAAGATTGAATCCAATCGATTAATTAGTTCAACTCAAGAGCTTATATACCGATTATTTTTGCTCTTGAACTATCGATGTGGGATGAAACTCTAACACTTCCCCCTCAATTCGACAACCGGGCCATTTTTGAATCTAACCAGTTGACCACTTGCAAATTAACTCTTATTCCTTTGACTTTTTTAGCGCTAACACCTAAAGGACTACGAGCCGCTGGATTAGGACTTCTAGACGAGCAATCGTGTTAGACGGGCGACAGGTCGTTGGATACAAACTCCATACGGACAACTGGGCTAAAGACTAACGGGCCGCTAGGAATGAATATTATATATATATATATATATATATATATATATATATATATATATATATATATATATATATATATATATATATATATATATATATATATATATATATATATATATATTACACTTCAAAAAATCTCTTTTGTAAGGGCAGTGGTAATACCCCTCACGCCCACCGGCGAGATACGCTGTTTTAACGCCGGGGGGCGTTAAACACCGCCCCCCCTCGGCGTGAGACGGGCGTGATGGGGTCTCCGTCATTCGTTTGACGCGCAGCATCCCCCCATTTAGCCGTTACCTCCACCCAACCAACGGCTATATAGTCGTTTCCCCTCCCCCAAATTTAAAAAAAATCAAAATTTAAAAAAAAACCCTATAAATTCTCCTAAACAAATCATTCTCTCACACAACTCTCTCACACATCTCTCTCTATATTCTCTCTAAAATATTTATTATTTATTATAAATATTTATAAAATATATTTTAAAAAATGGGTTCATCTTCATCCGACGATGAAAAAAGAGCTCTCTTTTTTCATTGTTTCGCCACGAATTGTATTCAATGGTGGGAAGAAGGCCAAGAAGAAGAAGCCGAATTCTCCCGATGACGGACCCGACAACAACGTTTAAACCGGGATCGAGCGGCCGCCCACGCTTCACTTCTAAATGACTACTTTAATAATCCGTGTGTTTATACACCGGAGGATTTTAGTAATCGTTTTCGGATGAGTCGTCCTCTCTTTTTACGCATACTCGCTGATGTTGAACGCGAGGTTCCTTGGTTCACCAAACGATTTGATGCGAGAGGACGACGCGGGTTTAGTAGCGTCTAGAAGTGCACTGCCGCGCTTCGTCAGTTGGCGTACGGGACGGCTTCTGATATGTTCAACGAATACTTGAAGATGTTGGCTCGGAGCATCAGTCCTGTGTTTATAAATTTTCAAAAGCTATTATTCAAATTTATCATAAAAGATATTTACGCAAGCCTACAGCGAGCGATATCCAGCAGTTGCAGGCAAGGCATGCCGCTAAACACGGCTTTGTCGGCATGCTTGAGAGTATTGATTGCACGCATTGGGAATGGAAAAATTGTTCCACTGCGTGGCACGGTCAATTCTCCCGGAGAGATCATCCCAAGCCTACCATCATGCTCAAAGCTGTTGCTTCGAATGACTTGTGGATTTGACATGCTTTTTTCGGGGTCGCGGGCTCGGACAACGACATCAACGTTCTCGATCAATCACCTGTTTTTGACGATTGGGTTAATGAGACCGCATCGGACTCCTCTTTTGAGCTTAGAGGGACGCTTTACAAGCGTGGATATTATTTGGCCGATGGAATATATCCAGATTATTCCACAATTGTCAAATCCCTCTTCGAACCAATGGGTCTTAAACGCCAGACCTACAAAAAAGCTCAAGAGGCGGCGAGAAAAGATATTGAACGAGCCTTTGGAGTCTTGAAGAGTAAATGGCACATTCTAGATCGTCCGTCGAAATGTTATTCTTAAACAAAAATGAGGAATATCATGTACGCATGTATTATTCTTCATAATATGATCATAGAGGATAACGGGACTGCGATTTGTCAATACAACCCGGACGAGGAGGTGCTTGTGTACGAAGAAATCACCGAATAAAACAAACGAAGAAACCGCCAAGAAATTCGAAGCCGAGAGATTCACAATGCACTAACGGCGGATTTGATCGAACATATCTTTAGTCGCTCAAATAATTAGTGATTTCTTTGTAGTGTTGTTTTTTTATGTAATATTTTTTAATGAATGTAATTTTTTTATGAATGTCATATTTTTAATGAATTAAATTTTTTTATTGAATGTATTTTTTTTTATGAATGTAATATTTTTTTAATAAATGTAATTTTTTTAATGCACTATTCTCATTGCGATTAATTTAAATAATAAATTTATTTAAATTTATGAATTTATTTTTAGAAGATGTATATATTTAAAAATGTAAAAAAAGAAGGTTTGAAGCCCCAGTTTGAAGCCCCGGGGCTTCAAACCCATTTCCAGTGAATTTTTGGTATAAGTTAAAGCTGACGTGGTAGAGAAAGATAGTTTGAAGCCCCGCTTTGAAGCTCCGTGGCTTCATACGTATTTTCAGTGCTCTAAGGTAGGGCTGGGTTGGAAAAACCGAAAACCGCAAACCGAACCGAAATCGATCGAAACGAGCTAGTAAAAAAACCAAACCAAAAAAACCGAAACCGAATGTAAAAAAACCGAACCGAACCGTTAGTATTTGGTTTCGTTTTGGTTTTCACTTTGAAAAACCGAACCGAACCGAATAAACCGAACTTTTTTAGATACTTCACTTTATTTATATGAATATATGTGATATGTAGAAAAATCATAGAAATATAAATGCAAATAAATTACTAGTCGATTTAAATTATTTTCTGATCTATTAATTAAATATTCTAGCCATATTATTATAAACTTTAAAAAACTTAAGAATATATATGAACACCAATAGTAATCCTAATATAGAATCATATTAAGATTAAAAATTGATACACGTAATTTACATATTTACATAAAAAATACTTTGATGTTATAATGAAATTGAAAGTATTATACAAAAAATATAAATTCTTCATAATTGATTTTACATACGATGTCTTTGGAAGTATTTAGAATCTTCTAAATGTTTGTTGGCACTCCACACATCTTTTTTATGTAAAATTAAACTAAAAGGAGCAATAACCTTCTATTTGGTTTTTTGTTTTTGTGTAAAAATCAAACAAAAAAACCAAAGCTAACACTACATATTTTTAATGTTTCATCGAGTTAGTGTTTTATAATTTTTTAATGCTTATAAATTTCTACTTTTATAAACCGAAAAAACCGAAAAAAACCGAAATAAAAACCGTAAAAAACCGAACCGAATAACCAACGGTTTTCATATTTTTTATGCAAAACCGAACCGAACCGAACCACCAATTTACCTTCCGTTTTGTCTTTGGTTTTGGGTAAAAATCAAACCGCCAAAACCGAACTCACCCCTACTCTAAGGGTAGATGGTGTGGGTGCCATCTCTTATTTTTGGTACTTAAAGAGGCCGGTGCCCAGTACTAAAACTAGTGTATGTGCTAATTTGGTATATAGGTAATATTATTAGTCTTGTGGGACCACATATAATATACTTCCTATGTTCCAAATTATTTGTCACATTTCTATTACCGAGGCAAACTATCAAGTTTTTTGAATTCATTTTATTTACATATTGGTAAAGAAATAAAAAATAAAAATTACATATCAAAAAACTACATGAAACATTTTTCGAAATAAGAGGTGTCAAGAATATTTTATTTTATCAAATAACCAATGAAAATGTCAAAATAAATAAAAGTTCACGCGACTTTTGAAAAAGCAAATGTTGTGAATATTTAGGGACGGAGGGAATATTTGCTGAGCATACGGCATCATTCTCTTCTTTTAATAATATTTTAAATCGCTATATAAAAAAAAATTTCTTTCACCCTCATTTTAAATCTAACATTATCAAAATCATACTAAAGTAAAGTATGATTGTATGGGGTAGCACTCTAGATTGTTTTGGTAGACTATTTGGTATGACAAAAAGTAATAAATTCTATTTTCAAACTTTTATCCATTGTAAAATATTTTTAGGAAAATGATAGGGGTACACCAAAAGTGTATCCCAAACATCCCCCACCTCCTCCATCACCACAAAAAAAAGGCAAGAAAAATTCAAAAAATAAAATAAAAATTAAAAACAAAATAAAATAAATGGTAAAGAAAGGGGTGGTGTAGCATATCCCATATTTTTAACCGGTTATCTAAATTTTATTTTATAAAAAGTTAGTTATATGCAATAAAACACACTTTACTAAAAAAAAATTATATCTTACCTAATTAGATGGGGTCACATTAATTTTTTATTGGGGCATATATATATAAAATTTTTAATTTATTCTTTTTTTACCTTATTACTAGAAAACTAGTTGGGGGCATTTCCCCCTACTCCATTGAACTAGATCCGCCCCCGAATCCTCTTTATATACTCCCTATGTCTCCAATTTGATTACAAATCAAATTGGGGTTTACGAGAAAAAAATTTTCATTTTTTGAAATCGTTTTATTTACAAATCATTATATCAATAGGTAATAAAAATTACATATTAAAAAATTATGTCAAAATTTAAAAGTTCTACCAAACAAGTGTAAGTTTGTGGGGCGCAACAGAAATCACCAATTGAAAGCTATGCAAACAAATCAACCAACTATGCTGTACAGAAGATACTGCAGCACTGTCACAGTAACAGATGACAGACAGTGTGCTATAACACTTCTCTGTCATAATCACACACAGACAGAAGTGTAGGGAAATTATGCACACAACACACACAAAAAATATGCGAGAAATGAGAGAAATGGAACACTGACGACACACAACAATTTAACGTGGTTCGATTTCCCTAATCCACGGCTGCAACAGGAGGAATTTCTTATTTCACTTGTGGTGTCAATTACAAGTATAAGTATGCAATATATATAAGAAGAGCGCATCTAGGGTTTCTTAACATGGACCGGGCCAACAAGTCAAACCCAAGTCTCCACAAACCCAACATTCTCCCACTTGGAGGCTTGATAATCATCAACTAACATCCGCCACGATTGCATGTACATCGAGTAATCTTCCTCAGCTCTCCTGTTGCAGCGGCCCTCTCATCAGACAACTGAAAGGCTCGTTGAAGCTCTCCAAAGCTCCAACACATTAGTCACGACTAAATCTACCTCCGACTCGTCCTCGGTCCCTAGCGGCTCCCATTGCAGACGCACACTCCCGGATCCTAGAACATCATGAGAACAAACACTCTCCATACTCAGCAAGAAAATTTCTGGAGATGTTCCAACAGCTAGAATACGGGTTCTCCTGAGCCAAGGTCTTCTAGGAAACTTGGCTAAAGCACCTCTTGAGCTCCCACTGCCAGAAATACCTCTGACTGGCCTCCTTGAATCTTTCCTTGCTCGTTCATCCTAAGTCTGACCTGTGACTCTAGGTTTCTCTTTTGCATAGACAACCTTATTCTTCACATGAGACTCTGTGAACCGGAGTTTGTTTCTCTTCTGAACTGGGACGGTCACTCCCTCAGATGGTAACTCGACCATATACAGCGAACCTCTCTTCTTTCCACGGGCCATGACAAGATTTCCCTTCACGACCTTCCACTTCCCATCTCTGAACTTCACCTCATGTCCCTGATCGTCCAATTGCCTGATAGAAATCAAACTTTTCTTCAAGGCTGAAACAACTCTGACATCCTTCAAAGTCCAGAAACTGACTAAGGTCTTCAACACCATGTCACCCATGCACGTCATCTCAAGAGCTCTCTGATCAGAAAAACTTTGTTCGCTTCAGATGGCTTCTCGTACATGTTAGATAGCGCTTCCATAATTCCCTTCGTTGTCTTCTCCTTCAGAATGTTAAACGCAACATTCTTGGTCAACGAAAGACGGATAGCTTTCTGATCCAAACCTACCCAATCTGCATCCGACATCTTTTCTGGCTTGTTGTTGGGAAAAATTATAGATTTTGATGATGATGTATATTTAGATTGTAATAGGGACTTTAAGTCACCCCCAATACTCAATGTAATTTTCTTTTTAGAAATTCTGTTAAAACCGAGTTCTTGAGATTTCCAATAAAACTTGTGATATTTCACTTTGCGGTTTGATGTTACTCTTTGAAGACTTAGCAAATCCAATGATAAGGAAATTGGAATTCTTGCTCGGAAATGTGAGAGACAAGTAAGGAATTCTCAAAGAAGACAGATTACTTTGGAATTCTCAAAACTGGAATGCTCATTATACCCAGAAGACTCGCTACAACCCGTTGAAGGCTAATTCATCCGGATTGGAAGACTAGTGTGGATCTCTTTCTCACCCGGAAGTCTAAGAATGACTAATCCAGAACTATCAGCTAAGAACCGGATGTCTCAAGGAAGACCGGAACTCTAAAAAGCAGACTAGTGAGAAAAGACTTAGAAAAATATCTAAGTCATGAATGAAGAAATTCTACCCGTTGGTAAGGACAAATCAATCCTTTGATTTTTAACGGCTAAATTGAGGATAATTAAATTTATTCAAGAAGAAATGACAAGAAGACGAAGTTTGGACTCCCTAAATTGAAGAGCTCAGCCAGAATTCTTGAACAAACACAAAAAGACAAATTGGGTACTCCACTCAATAAAGAGCTATGTTGGAATGCATGAGTTCAACCCATTCTGTGTTGTTAAGTGTTGACTCACAGGTTTTGATAATTGAAAAAAACAAATTTTTCAAGTCAAGATCAAAGTGCTACAACGACAAACACGAAGACTTGAAGTGCCATTCCTTGAAGTATTCAACATAGCTCCATTTACCAAGGAATGGGAGTCGAAGATTAACTCCATTTACGAAGGCCGAGATTACAACGTCATCACATACGACGGTCTTCGAGGTAACCTTATCACTTACGAAACAAATCATCTTTCTCATACTCTTGACGTTAAGAAGAGAACGGGAATTGCTTTTAAAGCATCTTCTTCTCAAAAAGTAGAGATTGGTGATTCGGATTCGGATAGTGATAGTGATTCTAGCACTTCTTGTGATATTTTGGTTGAATGTTTTAACGAGTTTATGAAACATGAGCTTAAAAAGATCAAGAAGAAGAACACCCCAAAGTGTCATAAGTGCGGAAAGCTTGGCCACCGAAAATTTGAGTGCCCGAAGCTCAAGAAAATAAGCAAACAAGATGAATTTGCGTATTTTTCGTGGAAGTATGATGAACCTTCCAAAGACAATTTCCTTATCGCTCTTGAAGAACAAGATGAGTGGTCAGGTACGTGACGCACAAGGAAGGCGTGCTTGAAGACTACAAATTTGTAGTGGATGCTCCAAGCACTTAGCCAAAGAGATTGCATCAAAGGGGAGTAAATACTATTTTTTAAATTAAATGTTATCTTTGAGATTTATTTGTGATAATTGTTATTTATTTGAGAATTTATATAGGATGTTTTGCATATAGTAAGGGGGAATTTTTTTTGCTATATGTGTTAATCTTTTTGTATACCTTATTTTTAAAGGGGTAGCATACTTTAAGGGGGAAGTATTTTATTTTCTAGAAATGCATGATTTTAGGGGAATGTGATTTTTCTTAATTGTTTAGAATATTTTTCTCTCCCCGGAATGCATGAGTTCTTTTGTTGCATTATTTTTGATAATACCAAAAGGAAGAAGAGTATAGGAGTATATGCTTTAATTTGTTATTTGTTGGTAGGATATCCTCCATGTGTTTGTCATTATCAAAAAGGGGGAAATTGTTGGAATGCATGAGTTCAACCCTTTCTGTGTTGTTAAGTGTTGACTCACAGGTTTTGATAATTAACAAACACAATTTATTCAAGTCAAGATCAAAGTGCTACAACGGCAAACACGAAGACTTGAAGTGCCATTCCTTGAAGTATTCAAGAAGGTGCACAGGATTTTATTGGAGTCCGAGACGCGTTCGGAGCGCCTAACGGAGGACTCGGAGGAGTAGAAGATTTTCGAAGACTTTTTACTTATGAGTCTTAGGAATTTTTGTAAGGATGACAAAAATATCATCTCTCCAAAATTACTTTTATGAGAGTTGAAATAAAAATTATATTTATTTTTGGAGTCAGTTGAAAAATCCTTTTAACTGTTCAAAATACATTTATTGAGTCAGTTACAAAAAGTGTGTCAAACATTTATCAAAATATTTATTTTGATATTATAAAATATTTTTGGTAAGCAAAATTATTTTATTCAAATATTTTTCGTGTATTTCGTTAGACACACAAAATATTTTTGGGACTCAATTTCTACACTCCAAATATCTTTCATTTGTTTCAAAATTTATTTTTGAATTATGTTTGAGGTGATGGGGAACCTTACCCCTGATATTCTTGTTGGAAACAATCACATAAACTCCATTTTGTCCTTCACCTCGCCCACATGCTTGTGTTCTTCATGTCTGGGCATCATTGTTGCAATAATTGATTTTACCTATGGAATTAATCGATTATCGCGTCCAGAAGGAACTAATCGATTAACACCTTTGGCTTTAATCGATTATCACTTTTTTTGCGCAGAAGGATTTTAGCTCTGGTGAAATTAATCGATTTTTTCACTTGCATTAATCGATTTTTATGATGCATTAATCGATTATTATGCTGCATTTTTCATCACAGCTTGTTTTCTTGGACCAACGGATATATTCCTTCAACCCCTTTATAAACTTCACTCCTTGGTCATTTTTACTATGAACAAGCACTCCTAAAATCCCCCAATCTTGAGGTTATAATCCTCCATTCATTTCTTCCTCAAATTGATATATTTTGAGAGAAAACTAAGTGTTTTCAAGAGAGTGTTCTTGTCATCCATAGAGCTTAATCTTTTCTCATTTCTACTCTTGTGAGAGTTATTGCTGAGAGGTTGAAGAAGATTGTTCTTCTTGTTGTCCAAGACTTATGTGACTTAAGTCTTGGTTGTGAAGTCTTGTAGAGGGTACATCTACGAGCGGTTGTGTTGAGGCTTGTGAGATTCAAGTTCTCGGTTTGTAAACGGTTTGTCAAGCACCCGTTGAAGCTTCATAAGTAGTGGTAGCTTCGAGAGAGTCTCTCGGGGAACTGGACTAGCCACGAGGTGGTGAACCAGTATACATTGGTGTGTTCTTTGCCTTCTCTCTTTTATTTCCGCTGCACTTACGTTTATATTATTAATCCTGCGAAAATCGGTAATCATTCTCAACAACTCTATTCACCCCCCCTCTAGAGTTGCACGCATTGTCTAACAAGCTACAATTCAGAATTCTTGAACAACAGCTAAAAGACGAATTCTGTGGAAAAGGAATCCTTATTCAAACAATTGGGTATGTCCAAACACCCACTCCAAAGGAGAATCCTCAATCTCACTCTTCATTCAAAATTGAACCCGGCAAATGCAACGGATGATCTACTCCCTTCAACGGATATATTACCCATAAAATACAGCCTATATATAGCTTCCATGGAAGACTGGAAAAAAAATACAAGAAAGCAACAAAGAAAAACAACTAACAAAGCTATCTCATTCACAGTTAGTCAAAAAGCTTGATAAAGAAAGATTTCTAAACTCCTTATCCAGAAGCAAACTTCTCATTCTTCCAAAGATCTATAGTGTAAACACTTGAAGGTTTTCTTGCCTCAAGTACCACACCATGTTGAAGGATACAACTTTTAATCAAACTTCTTGATTAAAACGGGGCACATCAACTTTTCTACAAGTTGATCTTGCAAGACCTATTGTTCGGATCTTGCAGTTGTTGAAGAAGCGTGACCTTCGAAGGAACAACAAAGCCAGCACGAGTGCAGTAGCAATATTGATCTTGCGAAGATATACTGTGCAGAAATTCACAAAAGTGTAATTGTTGGTTCATTATTCAACAACCAACTACATAGTGGATTTTGAGGACGTAGAAGGATTACCCCCCTTCGAATCTCATTAAAGTTTTCATGTCTCTCTCTCTCTTTTATCTCCACTTATATTTGCACTTGTATTAACTGTGAAACTAACTCATCCATATTGATAACTGCTCCAATAACCCACCAAATTCCGCAGACAATCTAAGTTCACAAGAACTTTAGATTAACACTCATTTCACGTTTTCAAAAAGAAGCGAAAAAGTTTTGAACTTGTAGCAAAGTCTATTCACCCCCCTCTAGACTTTGTATCTCACCACTTAGGGGATCACCAGTTGGTATCAGATCCAACTTCTCACTATCTACATTTAGATTAAAGAGAATCGATCATAATGGTGAACAATATGGATCACGGTTTGCCCAAGTTTTCTATTTTAGGTTATGATGATTGGAAGATCATGATGGAAGCACACCTCTACGCTCTACACGACTGCATGTGAATGGTGCTGGAAGATGGACCCTTGAAGATTCAATTGGAGAATCCAAAAAGGGATCCAAAGAATCCAGACGTAGTCCAGTACATTCCAAAGCCCAAAGAAAAATGGGACGATAGAGATTGCAAGAAGCACAACCTGGACAACGTCGCCAAAGCAGCCATCTTGCATCACTCAACCACGTTCTTTCTCCCAAAGAAAAGAATATAAGGTTATTGAGGTCTCTTCTGGCTCAGTGGTACACCAAAGCCACAGCTATGGAAGAAGGAAGAAATCTGGAGAACTACACTATCCAAGGTCTCCTGGACGAGCTTAGAACCTATGAGCACGAGCTGGAGAAGAAGAAGAAGGAAGAACCAGTCACCACCTATCCCACGGCACTGATGACAAACCCAAGAGTCTCAGCAAGCGAAGGGACATGCCCAAGGAGCTCTGACACTCCTTCCACCAGCCAGCCAACAAGCTCGAAGGCGGAGAACTACGAAGAGGAATTTGCAATGATGGTCAAGCAATTCCGGAAGTTCAAAAAGTTCTTCAAGAAAACTGACTCCATCAGAAGGTCATCCAAGGGAAAGCTACATGTAAGTAACTCTCCCCCCGAATCTTATCTGTGTTATAACTACAGGAAGCCTGGCCACTAAAAGTCAGCTTGTGCGTATCCAAAAGTGGAGAAGTACGGATAAGGAGAAAGGAACGTGAAGAAAAAGAAAGAAATGGTAGCATCTGAGAGTGACGAGTCATCCAGTTCAAGCTCAGATGGGGAAGCCTCACGCAGACAATCTAAGTGACCTCACGCACCGTCCAATAACGTGGGCCGACGTGGGCAATCTTCATCTTGTCCGATTCCCTAGGCTCCACTATAAATAGCCTTGTAACCCTTAATATAAATGATCCGAACTTTATATCTCTTGAGCATATTGTGTAATACCTCCCAGTACTGTTCTACACACTTAATAATAATTAGACTACAAGTGTTTCCACTTACAATGCTCCCGGTCAATCCTTGTTTTTGCACCTTTTCATTCTCAAAGCTCGGCAAACTATTCTAGACCTAGTCTAGTACAGTTTGGCAGGGTGATTAATTTACACCATCACCTAGTACATTCTACCTTTACATTTTTTCCTTCTACTCTTCTTTTCATCTCTAACCAAACAAGAAAACTATTTTCATTCACATTTTCTTTTCCTTCTTGTCTCAAATTCTTTAAAACAAACATAGAGCTAGGGACGGAGGGAGTAATACTTTTTACGGAGTAGGTGTTGGATCCCATTCCGTTCAACTTATTTTTCTACTTTTTTCTTATTCTTATTAAAATTAGATCAGATCATATCAGATCTAATCAGATCGGATTTAATCAGATCAGATGAGATTAGATCCAATCAATTATTATTATTATTATTATTATGATTATTATCATCATCATCATTGTTGTTGTTGTTGTTATTAAAAATGTAAAAGGAATAAACTTTAGAAACAAGTTATATTTTAATCATAAATATGCCCCAAATGAAAATTGAATATCAGTTGGCTATTATGGTGCCAACATTTATGCTTCATAATTTTATTCGGATTCATGAGTTAGGTATCCCATTATATGTTGGAGTTGACGTTGAATCGCAAAGTGATAGTACTATGTTCGACTGGGAATGCAAGACCAAATGGATACATTATTCCAATATTCTTATTTCATAAAAAATAATCATAAAATAGAAAATATTATTACATTATAATATGAATGATTATTCTAGTATATGAATTAACTAATTTTATTTGATTAAAAAATAATCATAAAATAAAAAATACTCCCTCCATCCATGAGTATTCGTCCACTTTTGACTTTTGGAACTGTTCATTTAAGCACTTTGATTTATCAAATTATCTCAATGTGTAAGCCTAAATATAGTTATGTGTGATCTTGTTTGATTTGTCTTAACATATAAATTATTAATATATAATTTTTATAATTTTTTAATATACAAATTTCAAGATAAAATGGATTAAAGAAGTGTATTGGATGGTGTGTAAAAATGAAAGTGGACAAATACTCTGGGACGGAGGAAGTATTGATTATATTATAATATGAATTATCATTACAATTTTCAAAAGTTATCATAAAGTCAGATCAAATTATTGATTTAATTTTTAAATCAAATTATAATTAGTCAGATTAGATCTATTCAGATCAGATCAAACCAGATCAAATCACATCAAATCAAATCAGAACTAAAAAAAATCAGATCAAATCAGAAAAAATAAATTGAAGGGAATGGTGCCTTAATTAGTCTTTTTCATTGGTATCAAAACACTGGTTCGTGCTCACCCACCCTAGTTCCGTTTGCTACCTTTTTTCTGTCGCATTGGGTAAGCGCCCAAAGCCACCTTCCCAGGCCAAGGAAACGCTGCGCCATGCACAACATTTCCGCCTCCGCAATTTCGTATCTTTTTGCCGAAAGGTAATTCACAAACTAATTAGGTCAAATTTGCCACCAGATGATTTGTGATCGGCGATCAATTTGTGATTAATGAGTTGAAATCGGGGGCGATCGAATGGGAACGATTTCGGGTCAGAATGATGTTCCCCGCTGGTCACATTTCATCCTCGCCCTTCTTTTCGCGTTCGCTTGCGCTGCCGCCAGGTTCCTCCTTGACAAATTCATCTTTCGTGTAAGCTAATCGCGCATCTTGTTTAAATGCTTAATTTCTTGCTGATCTCGTTTCCTTATTCCGTTTAATCATTTTGATGCTAGGTTTGAGTGCCATATTATGCATTTTATTCATTTAGGCACCTTACGGCAGTCCGTTTGATCCCAAAGTTGTTCTTATGCACTGTCGTCCCCCATCCCAGGGGATCCGAATATGCGGGTGTCATAATATGACACTGGTAGCTATTGACAAAAGAACAGGCATATCAATCAATAAACTTATTTTGTAATTATAATTTTAATATATATAACTATGTGTATTATTGTTGAAAATGTTATTCGGAGGATTAGAAATCCTGAAAACTTAATTGAGGAGAAAGATTTAGGACAAAATTATCTACTCCTTCCGTCCTGTAAAAAACATTCTTCTTTGGCTTTAACAAAATTTTAGAAAAGTATTGAAAAGTAAAAAATAGCTAGTTAGAATTTATATAGATGATAGATGAGTTTTTGGGAGTTGGACAAGACCAATTTGATTTCTGATTCTCTGGTTAGATTGGGTCTGGTCCGAGTTTAGAAAGAATCACCTTTCACTCATCATTTGGATAACCACCCACGTCTTGCAAGTTGTTGTTGGGATACAAACTCGTTCCACAGCAGACGGAGAAGAAGAAATGGATCAAAATACAAGTGTCCATCCAACGTATGAGACCTTTTGGAAGGTGTCCTAATACAAATCCAGAGTTTAGGCTGTATGGGTTTAAGGATTAGAGTTTGAACTACATTTACCCGGCACTCCAAAGGCATTGTTAATTTGTTTGTCTTCAATGTCATACTTGTATGATGTGAGTTCTGATGTTGCGAACAAATGAAAGTAGAATCAACTAGTTTGCATTTCAAATTTTCATTGAACTCTTGTCACTGAGTGTGGAGCACTTGGTAAGATCTAAACGTTCTCTATTTCATCTCTAATTCACACCTGCCTTGGTTAAACCATTAAACCTGTTTCACTCTTCACGTATATGTGTTCTTGCTTACTGTTATCATCAACATCTTTTAATTTCCAGAGGCTTGCCGTTTGGCTTGTGAGAAATGGACCTACTACCAATCGGAGGGTGAATGAGACTACAAGAGCCAAAGTTGCAAAATGCTCTGAATCCATGTGGAAACTAACATACTATGCCACTGTTGAGTTTTGGGTCCTAAGTACCATCTACTATCAGCCATGGTTTGTAGATAATAAGCAATATATCAGAGGCTGGCCAGATCATGAGCTTCAGTGAGTAGTACCACTTGTACCCTTTCTTTCTCTCAGCAATTTCAATGAATCATTATCTAATGTGTAATTTACTATGCAAACATATTCAATCATTGCATCCATATTGGTCTTGATTGAGTGCTCTAACAGTTTCTTGTCTTTTTTATGTCTGCAAGAGAGGATGAAAAATGTTTGCATATCAATTTCTGACTATTTTGCATGCATTTACTCACATATGCAAGACATCAATTTGTTTCTAACCCACTGCTTCGTGTGATTCAGGCCTTCCATAGCACTTGTCTATATGTGTCAATGTGGTTTCTATATCTATAGCATTGCTGCGCTCCTTGTGTGGGAAACTCGCCGCAAAGATTTTGCCGTCATGATGTCTCATCATATAATTACTGTTATGCTGATTTCAGGCTCATACATGACAAGGTAATCTTGTAACCTCACAAGTTTTTTAGATTTTTTAAATATTGTTTAGTGGGAATTTCTCATGATGACATTATAATGTGTGGTCCTTTTCGGTATATTTAACTGCAAAGCTTCCATTTTCACAGGTTCTTTCGAGCTGGATCTGTTGTTCTGGCACTACATGATGCTAGTGATGTCTTCATGGAAGCTGCTAAAGTGTTTAAATACTCTGAGAAGGAATTTGGAGCCAGCTTATTCTTTGGACTATTTGCAGTTTCCTGGCTTGTTCTAAGGCTTGTTATTTTCCCATTTTGGGTTATATGGTCCTCATGGTAAACTTTTAATTTTTGTATGAATTCAAAGCTACATGTTGTGATTTTCCCATTTTGCCCACATATTCTTAAATTCCCAAATTGTCTTGGCAAGCATGCAGTTACTACATGATAGAGGTGCTGAGGCTATCAGAGCTCTTGTCTCATGTGTTACTATACTATGCCTTCAACACTATGCTGTTGACCCTCCTTGTCTTCCACCTCTACTGGTGGATTCTTATATGCTCAATGATCAGAAGACAGTTGAAAAACAGAGGGCAAGTCGGGGAAGATATACGATCTGGTAATTAAGGTTTCCTAGAATATATTATACACTCAGCTTGGGTCCCACCGCGACCGCAAAAATTATATGGAGCAAATAACTTGTTCCATATAATTCTTGCGTCGGTCGACCTCTGCGAGTTCTTATGTTTCCTTCTTGATACTGTCACACTGCTGCTGTGTGAACAACTCAACTAATGTGCTGTCTAATTAATGCAGATTCAGAAGGTGAAGACTAGTTTGGTGGGGATATGGTTTCTGACTCCTTTACCTTAAGATGGCAGCAGCCTTGGAAGATTGGTTTAACACTAGTTGTGTTGTTGTAGGTTTGGTTCTCCATCTAACTGTGACATTTTGTCTTGAAGGTTGGTATTTTTCCTCTTCAAGAGACATAGTGGTTACAATGTAAAGCACATTCCCTCCCCCCGCAAAAATTGTGTGTTTTTGCTCTTCAAGGTTTGCCTCTTAGAAACTGAACTAAATTTAGGGACATTTTAAAAAGTAAATAAAGAAATTGATCAAGTTTTGGTGATTACAACAATGCAATAGGGGTAACTCTTGTGTGGAATTGTCATGTCATAAATTTCAAGTATCTCGTTTAACGAAACCATACATTTCAAAGATAATTAGTAACTCTCACTTTTTTGGAATGTACACATAATTCACCCTGATTTTAGAAATAAATGATGTTTAAGAAATTGTCTTAGAGGGTGTATTCAATTTGGATTCTGTAGTATTCTTTTGGATTTTAAAAGTCTGTGGGTATTTATTTTCGATTTTAAAAATTCATTTAAAATCTGAGTGTACGGAATATGTCAAGAGCATAATAGAAAAATAATTGATGTTAGAAACTTATAAAATCTTTTTTATAAACAATAATTGATGTTAGAATAATATACGGAGTATGAATTTTTAAAAGAATTCAAATTCATGTATAAAGAATCTATGGATTATAAACAATTCAACATAATCTTATAAAATCTTACAGATAAAATACTTTAAAATCTATCAAACTCATCACAGACTTAAAACAATTCATTGATTTCACATAATCCATAGATTCTGAACAATCAATCCAAATCATTTAAAATTTAGATTGAATACACCCCTCTTAGTCTATAGGAAACAAATGACTAAAATAAAGGAGCAAAATGAGTTCTTGATATACTACTCCGTACGTACTTTTGTTATAATAATCATTGCCAAACATGACTTTACAGTTTACACAATTATATGTAAATATATCTCTATGTATGTTTATACATTATTCCTCATATTCTATCCTTGTTGTACCACCTAATTTCACCATTGATAGTGTAATGTGTTTTATTTTCTACATGTAAGTACAGAGTAGGAATTATATTGTCTATTTCGGAAGACAAAGAGGGGATAGGATGACATCTGGGCTTGACCCAATGACTTTTATTATTGTTGTCTATTTCTGCAAAAAATGTTTGGCAGATGATTGATTTGAAATTAAAAGTTTTAGAGTTTGATGTATTTTAGATTATTTATTGAGTTATTTTATTGTTAGAAAAGTTTTGGGAAAAATAAGTAGTGTTTCACCAAGATTCGTGTAGTTTCAAATTATATGGGTTGTGGTATTACAAATGATTTTTACATATAAAAAAAAGTTCCACAATTCATTTTTTATTTGCCAAAAAAATCTACTCTCTTTATGGAAAACTTTTTACAACTCATATTATTTGTCTTTTCTCAGTATGATTTTTGATCACACATTTTTTTCTAAATAATTATTCTGATTTCATCGTGCAATATTTTTGTGGAACGAAGCATGGTTCGCGCTAGAAAAATCATCCTAAATAGAACTAAAACATAAAAAATGTCAAAATAAGAGTTTCATTTTTAATTCTCGAAATAGAAGTTTGCACTATGATAATGTGATGGTTATGTGACACTATACATGTTCACATTACTATACTTTTTGGTAATATAAATGATCATATTTGATAATGTAAATTTATTTTAACTCCTATTTCGGGAACAAAACCATGGAAGTCCTATTTTAGCATATTTTCAATGTTTTACTCTTATTTTTATCTTTTTCCCTTCGCGCTAGTGATTCAACTTATGGTATAACATATACCAAAATAGGACTTCCATATTTTAATTCTTGAAATAGGACTTAAAATGTATTTACATTACCAAATATGGTCATGTACATTACCAAAAAGTATAGTAATGTGCACATATATAGTGTCACATTACCACAGTGCAGATTCATATTTCAGAAAAAAAAACATAGAAGTCTTATTTTGATATTTTTCTCTATGTTTTAGTTCTATTTAGGGTGATTTCTAAAATGAAAAATTTAGAGCATGTTTGAATGATTATTTTCATAGAGGAAGGTTCAAGTTACATTGAACCTTAGTGATTTTCATAATAGAATCTAAATGCGCCTCGAAGCATGCTCCTCATCTTCTATTTTGTCTTTCAAAAAATTGAGGTCAAACATTCCAAATTACCTCATCCAAAGAAATTTTTTTGGGTCATATACCCTGAACTCTTCAAAAATTACACAAATTTTCTCTGAACTCTACAAATTGTAACAATGATCCCTAAATTTTTAAAAACATTACATCAACGATCTCTCTGTGTGAGAGTAGATTTGAGAATACGTTAATCACATTCTAAAAGTTCAAGGACCATCGATGCAATTTTAAAAGTTCAAAAAAATCCATGTAATTTTTGAAAAGTTCAGGACAAATTGCACAAAAAACTCCAAAAATATTAACACTCATTTTTATAATTAGTTTTAAACGCCCTCTTAATTTGTTTTACAAACTGTGAAAAGCAATGGATATTATGAAAAACAATGGAAGATCTATTTTCACTACCTCGGTCTTGAAATATTCATTACATTTGAATTTTTGAGGTGAAAATTAGATTATTTCTTATCATCAATTAAATAAAAGCTATATTACATATTGATATAAAAATTGTTTTATTAAATTTATCTTTTAGAAAATGAAAAAATTACTTGAAGCTTATTTTGTATTACATCTGGTCCTAAAAATCTTTTCTGTTTTAATTTTTTTAGTCAAGCAGTGATACCCTTTGACCATAAATTGCGAGAAAAGTATTGATAAAACTTAGGATGGTGTAAAGATATCTGGATTGGGCAATAAGACACTTGGGATGAACCACATTACAATCGATTAGTTAGTTCGATCAACTCAAGAGCTTGTATACCGATTATATTTTGCTCTTGAACTTCCGATGTGTGATGACACTCTAACACTCCTCTTCAAGTGGACAACCGGGCCATTTTGAATCTAACCGGTTGACCACTTGCAAATAAACTTTCATTCCCTTGATTTTTTTAAACTCCAACACCTAAAGGACCACGAGCCGCAAGGTATGTACTTCCAGATGAGCAATCGTGTTAAACGGGCCACAGGCCGTTGGGTACATACTCCATACGGACAACTGGGCTAAAGGCTAATGGGCCGCTAGGAATGAACGTCTAGACGGACACCTTGAGAAACGAGGTGGGCCAAAACCTTCTTTGATACCATGATAAAATTTAGGATGAGGTAGTGATAACTGCATTGGGCAATAAGACACTTGGGCTGAACCACATAAAAAGATTGAATCCAATCGATTAGTTAGTTCAACTTAAGAGCTTATATACCGATTATTTAACTCTTGAATTTCCGATGTGGAATTCATGTTAACACTCCCTCTCAAGTGGACAACCGAGCCATTTTGAATCTAACCGGTTGACCACTTGCAAATGAACTTTCATTCTCTTAATTTTTTTAGTGCCAACACCTAAAGGACCCACTGGTATGGACTTCCAAACGAGCAATCGTGTTAAACAGGTCACAAGTCGTTGGGTACATACTCCATATGAACATTTGGGCTAAAGACTAATGGGCCGCTAGGAATGAACGTCTAAACAGACACCTTGACAAACGAGGTGGGCCAAAATCTGCTCCGATACCATGATAGAATTTAAGATGGGGTACGGACAACTGGGCTAAAGACAAATGGGCCGCTAGGAATGAACGTTTAGACAGACAACTTGACAAACGAGATGGGCCAAAACCTTCTCTGATACCATGATAGAATTTAGGATGGGGTAGTGATAACTGGATTGGGCAATAAGACACTTGGGCTGAACCACATTAAAAGATTGAATCCAATCGATTAGTTAGTTCAACTCAAGAGCTTATATACCGATTATTTAACTCTTGAATTTCTGATATGGGATTCACTTTAACAAGTATATTTAATTCTGATAAAAATTCAATATAACTTGGTTCATCTTAGAATATAGTTTTTGGTGGTGTAAATTACTTGACCGGTCAAACTATACTAGACCGGGTCTAGAATAGTTTGCTTGATTTGGTAAAGTAAGAAAGGTAAAAACACGTAGAGTGACCGATAGGACTTTAGGTGGAACACCTGTAGCCCAATTTATATTATAACAGAGAGTGCACGGGTGCTTTTACAAGGGAGTTTAGAGAGAATGAATTCGGATCCCTACTTCTGAGAGTTAGAGCAGTTTTTACACTAAGCTAAGGGGGGACAGGGCCACGTGCACCCACGTGGAGGCACGTTCTCGGAGGGTGAGAAGTGATGGCCTTCGTCCTCTTGCTACCTTGTCGCCTTGCGAGGGAGATTGTGCCCTTGTCGCGTACTAGCTTGGACAGATTCCTTCAGCATCTTCAGCGATCCTCCACTGACATGGGTCGCTACACGCCAAGCCCTTTTAGATTCTCTTCTGCTGACACTTTCCAACCCTAGAAATTACACCGGGCAATTTCCGAGTGATGAGTTTATCGAAGTTAGGGAATGAATAGGGTGACAAAGTAGTTTGACCGGTATACTTATTCCTGAAGTATACCGGTCATATTCGGACCGATCGAGTGTTCCATTGCTGACGATTAAAGTTTCCCCTTCCAGTAAGTTCAAATTGACCGGTCAACTATTTGGTCTTATCTTTTGACCGGTCCTAGGTGGAATACACCCATCAATAAGCCCTCCACTTCTCGGTCATGCAATTTGTCATGAGCGGGAAGTAAAAAATCTGAAACAGGATGCCAATTTTGAACTTTTGGCTCTTCCCGCCGGAAAATTTCAAAATTTGAAAATTCAAAATCCGAATCTTGACACGTGTCGAACACCAGCCACTGCAACAGTTACCTGTCGCTTCGCCTGCCAGTATCATCATTGCGCCGCTTGACGCGGCGCAACCTGAAGAAGCCACGTCGCCTGATTCAACTTCCCTCCTCCTATATAAAGACCTTCAGCCCTATTCACTTCTCACTTTTCGCACTTCGCATTTTAGAGCTTTCACTGGTCGAGCTCCCTCCTTTTGCCTTCTAGCCCTCCGAGTCAAGTAAGCTCCTCTCCCTTCCCCTTTTTAAGTTCTCCCCGGCTATGTCTTCCTTAGGTAGTGATAGGATTTCGTCCTCGGAGGACCGCTCCTCTGAGGACTCCAACTCTTCTTCCTCGACCGGGTCTTCTTCCTCCAATTCCATGCCCGGCCAGGTCCCCAACCCCTCCACACCTGAGCCGCAGCCTGTAAATCAAATGCCCGGTCAGGTTGCTATGGAGAGGGATGAACCGGTTGACAACGAACCGGGTCCCTATGACCCAGACACCGAGTCCTGGGATGAGTGGGAAGAGCGGCTCCGAACTGCCGGTTACTTTCCACTCCCTACATATTATGTCCTTGACATTTCGTCCCATGTATCTAAAATTGCCCTGAATAAAATCCGTAGGAGGCTCCCAGATGGTTATACCCTCTCGTACGAGTCTGACTGGTCTAACATCATTGAACCCCACCGCGAGGATAGGATAGGGTTCCACACTGTTTCTTTGGATGCGGGCATGGTTTTTCCCCTTCGCCCCCTCCTAACCAAAGTATGCCATGCGTTTAGGATTTTACCCGGCCAGATAACCCCTAACGCGCATCGGTATCTCCATTCCTTGGTAAACATATGTTCTCACCTCAAAATCGAGCCTTCCCTTCGCCTTTTCCTTTTTTGTTTCGAAGTCCTACCGGGCGGGACTTGTTGTGAAGGCTTCGTATTCTTTAAGGGGCGAACCGGTAGGAAGTTCATTTCCGATGTCCCTCAAAGTAACCGGGGATGGAAGGAAAAGTTTCGTTTTATTGAGTTTCCCCCGTTTGTCACTCCATTGGCCGGTCTGAAATGGAACGACCATCTTCTAAACCACGAGTATACTGTGTCGGCTTCCTCCCCCGACCTTGAAGCGAGTCTAGAGATCCTCCCCCGTGGGGATCCTTTCACCGGGAGGAAATTTAACTACGGGAGCTGGGTTTGGAGGATCGAACCGGGTGGTGAGGCCCAGGCCCATGAAGCAGCGGGGCGCAGGGTACCCTCCCCGGGAAACACTGCAGAGGCTAAGGCCCAAAACCGCCCAGGTATTTCTTATTTACTTAGCGATTTTTGTTTGACTCGTGTCGTTTCATGTACTTAACGATTTTAGCTTCTTTTACAGATATGGAGTTCGAGGAGTTCGCCATGCCCGAAGATCAGCCAGCGAGAGAGACCGGGGGTTCTCAAGCTGCTTCCGCCAAAACTTTCACGGTCCAACCAAAGACCGTGGAAATACACGATGAGGATGAGCCTCAAGACGACCTGTTCAAGGGGAAGGGCATAGAGAAGGTCGGTCGCCGGTTTAAGAAGGCGGCCACCACCCACCCCTCTTTTGGCAAGAAGAGGCAAAGAGCAGATCCTGACACGGCCTCTTAATCCGTTGAGGAATCCTTCATTAACCTCGGCCTGAGGCTGAGGGAGGTAAGTCGTAATACATGACCGGTTAGAACCTAACTTCTCTTGTAATGCAGAACCAAACCTTGTGGGCGTTTTTGTACAGGCTGGGGAGATTGGACCACTGACTGCAGACCGGTTAGGGATGAGCTCTCCTTCCGAAGTCGACCGGCTGAAGAAGGAGAAAGAAGAGATGGCCCTCATCTTGAAGAGCCAGGCAGATGAGCTGATCAGGCTGTCTGGGCTGGCCGGGGCAATGAAGACTGAGATCTCCCAACTGAAGGAGGAGAATGGCCGGCTTATGGATGAAGTCTCTAAAGCCAAGAGGGAAATGGCTCTGAAGGAAGAGAGCTTTCCCAGTCGTGCAGCTGCCTGGATGGAGGAGAACAAGGCCAAAGCAGCCTGGGTGATGACGGCAACCCCGGAGACTACCATGGAGTCCTTCAGGCTTCTTTACCGGGAACCTGAAGGAAAGAAGATGATTACCGCCATTGGATCCTATGGATTCAAGAGCGGTCAGAAGAAAGACCGGGCTGCCTCTCACCGGGTCCTGAAGAAAAGGGACCCAGACTTCAGTGCAGCTGCCTATGGCTTGGCCCCAATTCCGGAGGAAGAGCCTACTCCCCCTTCCCCCTAGATTGATCTCCCGGCTGCGCCCGGTTGAATTGTTTTGTAAAACTTCAAACTCCATTTCCCCGAGAATGCCTGGTGTATCTGTAGACATTTAACATTTTAATTTCATTTGAATGCCATGTTTAATTTCCATACCGGTTGATCTTGCTTCTTGATTCGTATTTTTATTTTGCTCCTTAGAATGTCTTCGTAAAAACTCTGACCGGTTAAACTTTGATTCTTTGGCCTGTAATCGAAATAGACCGGTTGAAATCCAACTTTCACTTTTGAATGTCTTCATCTTGATGGCCAACTTGAAAAAGCTTGACCGGCTGAACTTCATTTTGGCTTCTTGGATAGCTTCATGAATTCTTCGACAAAGTTCAGTTTGACCGGTAAATTCCCACTCCATGGTGTGACCGGGTCTATGAAGTGGTAGAACTTTTGAATTTCCGTTGTATCAATACCCAACCGGGGTATTCTTTTTTTTTTGTTTCACCGGTAGGCTGTAGATGGAAGCACCTGTAACCTAGTAATTTCTTGAAGTATCCTTAACCGGTAAGAATACTGGAGATTTAACCATGTCGAATGGTTTCGAACCCTCTCTAAGGTCCAAATGCACACTTCTTCCAGGGCCCCCTCTTCCGGGTGATTAAGTCTTTTAATGGCCCTTTAATTTCTACCATCCCGGGAAGGCCTTAGCTCACCCCTCGTTCAAGTCTTCCCTGAGAAGGGGGAAATAGGATGCGCCACGGTGGACGATCCCTTTCTATTTATTTTAATGGGCATCTTTTAGTCCCTAGTGAACTTGACAGTACCGGTTGATTCCCCGATACCGGTCAAACCTCGTGGGCCCGTGTAAATACGGTTCGAACCTTCTTCCAGGTCCAGCCCTCTTGCACGCATACCCCTCTTCCGGGTTTTAATATTTTTTCTATTATACTGAGCAAGACCGGTGTAGTAACCAGCGTGCCAGGTCCAGGCCTGTGTCTCAGTTGGCTTATCCAAGTGGATTCGATCCACCCGGGAAGCCCTCCTAGGATAGGTTCGACCTATCATTTCTGTTGCTACCATGTAGAGTATTGAACATCATTTTGATTGATAATATAGTTAGGCCTCACCTAGTATTACAATCATTTGTAGAATTTTCGAAGATGATGTGAATTCCATGTTCTTTCTACCGGTACACCATTCAGAGTTTCTAACCAGTAGGTCCCCGGGCGAATGATAGCTTTCATCCGGTAAGGTCCTTCCCAGTTTTTGGCCAACTTTCCTCCATCACCCGGTCTACTAGCCTCTCTTCTTCGTAGGACTTCATCTCCAACTTGGAAGTATCGCGGCCCAATCTTGTTGTCATGGTACTTCTTCACAACTTGTTGGTATGTACTCATTCTCACCTCTGCCGCCATCCTTCGTTCCTCGACCAAGTTGAGCTCGGCTAGATGGTCTTCTTCATTTTGTTGGGGTTGATAATTTGATTCCCGGAACGTTGGGAATTCAGCTTCGATGGGCAGCCTTGCTTCACACCCATAGGTTAGGGAGAATGGAGTTTCCCCATGAGCCCTCCTGGGTGTTACTCGGAATGCCCATATAATGTGCGGGACCTCTTCTAGCCACTTGTTTCCTGCTTCTCCCAGCCGCTTCTTCAAACCATCTACAATAGTTCTGTTGGCGTTTTCAACTTGGACATTTCCTTGGGGGTACGCCACCGAAGAGCGATTGTGCTTGATTCTGAAGCCCCCCAAGTATTCGGGGAATCTTGGATTTCGGAATTGTGGGCCGTTGTCGGTGATTAGGTTCATGGGAGCCCCAAATCTCTAATGATGTCAACCCCGAATCTAGCGAATGGGATGACATTAGATACGAGGTGATAGTAGGTCGCCGGTCTTCCGGGGTACTTGTAGAACACTTGGCATGTTCTGCATTTCTGAACATACCTTTCGCAATCCTGGACAATTGTTGGCCAGTAATACCCCAATAGGATGATGCGTTGGGAAAGCGTACGAGACATTTGATGCGCCGCGCATACGCCCTCGTGGACCTTCGCTATGACTCGCTCGGCCTCCCGGTTGGTTAGACATCTCAGGAGTGGCCCCCCAAATGCCCTTTTATACAGTTTTCCATCAAGAACCTGGAATCGGGGCGCCCTGAGCTTCACTTTTCTTGCCCGGTCCTCTTGTTCAGGCAAGCTCCCATCCATTAAGTATTCCATTAGATCATACATCCAATGGTCGCCCGCCCCAACTAGGTTTGACCGGTCACATTGGCTTCCGGTTGTTATAGCGGTGACTTCCAATTTTTCGATGCTGGCTCGATCAGGGATTTCCACCTGGGCAAGTTTTGAAACATGCTCGGGAGCATACTGCGTCTATTTAGAAAGAAGGTCTGCATCCGCGTTCTCTGCCCGGGGAATTTGGGCGATTTTGAATTCTTCGAAGCCCTTCAGCAAGGCAAGTACAAGGTCCTTGTACTGCGCCATTCGTCCTTCTCTGGCTTCCATGTTACCGGTCACTTGCCCGACGATCAAACTAGAATCAGACTTGATACTGACCTGGCTGATTTTCAGGGCTTGGGCCAGCCTGAGCCCTCCTGCTAGAGCTTCATATTCTGCCTCATTGTTCGTCAGCCTGAAGTTGAAGACGATTGCATGGTTGATCTTGAACCCTTCTGGGTGGTAAACATGATACAACCCCCGTATCCTTTAGGACCGGATGCCCCATCAACTGCCATCTCCCACCATTGCTCAGGGGGCTTGTTGACCGGTAGGTCTGGAGTTAGACCGGTCATTTCTACCAGGAAGTCTGCAAGGGCTTGTCCCTTGATTGCTGACCTTGGCCGGTACTCAATGTTGAATTGAGTTAACATCATTGCCCACTTCACCATCCTCCCAGAGGATGTTGAATTTCGAAACACTGCACCCAGCGGTTGGTCAGTCAAGACTTCCACCGGGTGAGCTTGGAAGTAGAATGTTAATTTCTTTGCGGAGATGAAAAGCGCATAGGCAGTCTTCTCCATCGCCGTATACCTACTTTCAGCTCCGTTTAGTGCTTTGCTCACATAATAAATGGGCTTTTGTGCCCCATCATCTCTTATTAAAACGGAGCTTACAACATTTGGGGAAATTCCCAGGTACAGATACAGAGTTTCACCCGGTACGGGTTTAGACAATACAATATCTGACACTAGGTACTCTTTCAGCTCCTCAAATGCCCTTTGGCAGTCTTCATCCCACGCGAATGTGTTGGCCTTCTTCAGGACTTTGAAGAAAGGCAGGGATCTCTCAGCTGACCGGGACAGAAAACGGCTGAGTGCCGCTAGACGACCGGTCAATTTTTGCACATCCCTAACCGAGGTAGGGGCTTACATCTCGGTGATAGCCCGGATTTTTTCTGGGTTGGGCTCTATTCCTCTCTTGGTCACCATGAATCCCAGGAACTTCCCGGTGCGAACCGCGAAGACGCATTTCTTAGGATTCAATCGGAGGTTGTATCTCGCCATGATATCAAACGTGGCACGCATATCAGCCGGGTGGTTGAGAGATACCTGGCTTTTGATCAGCATGTCGTCGACGTATGCCTCCATGGTCTTTCCTAAGAGTGGCTTGAAGAGTTTGTTCACCATGCGCTGGTAGGTTGCTCCTGAGTTCTTCAAGCCAAACGCCATTACCCGGTAGCAGTAGGTTCCTTCGGGTGTGAGGAATGACGTCTTCTCCTCATCTTCCTTGGCCATGTATATCTGGTGGTAGCCCTTGAAGGCATCCATGAAACTTAGGAGTTCGCACCCCGCGGTTTCGTCCATCATTTGATCTGGACTGGGGAGGGGGTATGAATCCATCGGACAAGCCTTGTTCAAGTCCGTGTAATCCACACACATTCTCCACGTGTCGCCCTTAGGAGCAAGGACAACGTTGGCCAGCCAATCCGGGTATTTGACTTCCCGGATATGACCAACACTGAGGAGGTCCTTCACCTCCTTCTTGACGAAGTCTCGCCGGACACTCGCCAGGTACCTCTTCTTCTGGCGTACCGGTCGACTTCCATCCCTTACTGCCAGCCGGTGACAGATGATTGAGCGGTCAATTCCGGGCATATCTGTCACGCTCCATGCAAATATGCCCGTGTATTCTTGTAGAACATGTGTAATCTCTGCCTTGAGATCTTCTGGGAGATTTGCTCCAATTCTGACCATCCTTGAAGAATCGCCCGGGTGAAGTTCGATCTCCACCGTCTCGGCTTTGGGCTCCAGCTTCTCCCGAGTTTCTCCCTTGGTGATTTCCTGGGAGATGAGCTTGACCCCCTTGGTCATCTTCTTTACTGCCCGGGCATAGCACTCCCGGGCATTTCTCTGGTCGCCCTTCACTTCACCCACACCACCTGGAGTGTGGAACTTCATGCACAGGTGCGGCATGGAAATCACCGCCCCGACCTTATTGATGCCCGGTCTTCCAAGGATTGCGTTGTGGACGCATTTGATGTCCACAACTATGAACCGCATCTTCTTCCATACGGTTTTTTCACCCGATCCTAGTTCAACCGGTAGAACTTTGGATCCTTCAGCTTCCACTGTATCTCCCGTGAAGCCTGATAGAGGGGTTTTGAGGGGTTCAAGTTGTGTCCGACACAACCTGAGTTTTTGGAAAGTTTCCAGGTACAAGATGTTGACACTGCTGCCGGTGTCAACAAGTACCCAGGCAACGTCCACCCCATTAATGTCCATGGTGATGACCAATGAATCGTTATGATCTTCACCGGTAGGTGGGAGGTCCCGGTCAGTGAAGACGATCGGTTCCCTCCTGGCATGCTTACGCCTGGCCGGTTCAGCACTTACTTCACTAACGTAAATGCTACGGACCCAATTCTTCCGTTGCGTGGCCGAATCTCCACCTTCATGTCCGCCGAATATCATGCCTATGTGTTCCTTCTTAGGAGCAGGCTGTTGCTCTCTTTGCCGGTTATTCCTTCGCCGGTCGTTGTCCCGGTCATTTCCCTAGGCCGCTGGTCTAACCCATTGATGACTCTTCTCCTGGGCTTTTTGCAAGTAACCCTTGCCCAGCTCTCCACTGTCTATCATCTGCCGGATTACTCCCTTAACACTCTTACATTCGGAAGTGTTATGGGAATCTGACCTGTGGTACGAACAATAGGTGCCCGACCACTGCCGTCCTGTTTGACCGGTAGGGTTTTCCGGAGGAATGACCGGTGCTTTCCGGATTTCTTGGCATTCTTCCGTATTGACCATACGGACAACCGGGTCATAATGGTGCCTTGGCCGGCTAGGTCCCGGTGCTTCTTCCTTCTTGACTTGCACTGGCTTGGGCTTGTAACCATGCTCAGCTTCTTTCTTCGCCCGGAGTTGAGTTTTAGCCTCAGCAAACTCCCATGCAGTGTGGTAGGCCTCTTGGTACGTGGCCGGGGGTTTCCGGCAGAACTCCTTGTACAGTTCCCCGGCACGTAAGCCATTCAAGAGAAGGGATAAGACGGTCTTGTCATCCATCTCTTCCACCTTGTCTACCTCTTCCTTCCACCGGGTAAGGAACTGAGTAAGGTTCTCAGACTCCCTCTGCCCAGCAGTACTAAGATAGGTGAATTTCTTCCTCTTAGTATAGTTCTCCTGGAACTTGGCCTCGAATTTTGAGGCCAAGTCACTGAATGAATCAATACTTCCTGGGCGAAGTTTGTTGAACCATTCAGTAGCTCGATTCCGTAGGGTTTGGAAGAAAAGGAGACACTTTTCTTCGTCTGTGCAGCCGTTCATGGTTGCACTTTGGTTGAAGGAGTCCAGATGGATTTCTGGATCTTCCTTCCCAGTGAATCTAGGGGCGTCGATCTTGACCTTTCGCGGGAAAGGTGTCAGATGGACCCTTGTGGTGAACGGGGACCCAGCCAGGGGTTTGTCCCGGTCATTCTTTTCCCCAACCTTCTTCTCCAGCCTTTCCAGTTTTGCCTCCATCTGCTGGACGCGGTCATTTGGGATGGTTAACCGGTTCGCCACCGGTAACCTAGGCTGGCTCTCCGCTTCCTCTTCCTGACAAGAGGCCCCCGTCCTCGCTCGCTCCTGCCGGTTAGACCAGGAGCGCTGGGTGCGGGCAGGCTCGGCCTCCCTCACCTCGCCTAACTGGGTGAATGCGCTGACATGGGCAACACTTTGCCCCAGCCTCAGCTTGGCTGATTTCCTCTGGCCCTCTTCCCTGTCCGTAGCCTTTCGAAGGCGGAGTTTCGGGAAGTGGCTGGCCGGACAGCTTTCCCCTTCTTCTTCTTGTGGGCCCTTGGAATGTCCCACTCGCCGTCATCACTCTCAACTGAGACGCAATGACCATCAGGGGTGACTTGCAGATTCGTACCTTGCGGGGGACGCGACGACCCTGCAGCGTTAAGCGCGCCAGTCACGTTGACAGAGGCTACGGTGCTGACCAGCTGCGGCTGGAAAGGTGATGGTTGCGGCACCGGCGTCTGGAAGGGAGACACCGCCATTGGAGCTTGTAGGGGCATGGTTCCCGCACCTGGAAGAGCGAACGGGAACATACCATGGAGAAAGGCCATCCCCCCATTCTGTTGGCACATGGCCATGACCTGGCCAAAGCCATGGATGGCCTGCAGGTTGGCCGGATCGTTCATGAACTGAGTCATGCTCGGTGGGAATGTGACCCTTGGTCCAGCGGAAGGGACAGGGGTCGTGAATGGGCTGACCATGCTGGGTGTTGGGACCGAACTTAGACCCAACGGCAAAACTGGAGCAGAAATGGCCGGTAGGGTAGCAGCCATGGGGAGGCTGGTACCTTCATTGGTGGCTTGCACCTGAGCGGAAGTAGCATTGATGTGTTGGCTTGAAGACATTTTGAGTGGTGTTTTTGTGGGTAGGTTTGTGTTTAGAGGAGAAGAAACCTTAACGGTCCCATGGATGGCGCCAAAAATGATGGTGTAAATTACTTGACCGGTCAAACTATACTAGACCGGGTCTAGAATAGTTTGCTTGATTTGGTAAAGTAAGAAAGGTAAAAACACGCAGAGTGACCGGTAGGACTTTAGGTGGAACACCTGTAGCCCAATTTATATTATAACAGAGAGTGCACGGGTGCTTTTACAAGGGAGTTTAGAGAGAATAATTCGGATCACTACTTCTGAGAGTTAGAGCAGTATTTATATTAGGCTAAGGGGGACAGGGCCACGTGCACCCACGTGGAGGCACGTTCTCGGAGGGTGAGAAGTGATGGCCTTCGTCCTCTTGCTGCCTTGTCGCCTTGCGAGGGAGATTATGCCCTTGTCGCGTACTGGCTTGGACAGATTCCTTCAGCATCTTCAGCGATCCTCCACTGACATGGGTCGCTACACGCCAAGCCTTTTAGATTCTCTTCTGCTGACACTTTCCAACCCTAGAAACTACACCGGGTAATTTCTGAGGGATGAGTTTATCGAAGTTAGGGAATGAATAGGGTGACAAAGTAGTTTGACCGGTATACTTGTTCCTGAAGTATACCGGTCATATTCGGACCGATCGAGTTTTCCATTGCTGACGATTAAAGTTTCCCTTTCCAGTAAGTTCAAATTGACCGGTCAACTATTTGGTCTTATCTTTTGACCGGTCCTGGGTGGAATACACCCATCAGTTTTGATATTTCAAATTTTTATATCATTTATTTATTAAGATTATATTTTATTTATGGTCAAAGAGTGTCATTGTTTAACCAAAACAAGTCAAAATATGAAATATTTTAAGACCGGATAGAGTATTTAATATGCATGAAATATATTTTTATCTAATTATCATTCAAGATTGGTTGGAAGCTACTCCATTCCATTTTATATATCTAACTAGTGTTATCCCCGTGCTTCGCACGGGCTCGCATACATTCTAAGATTTTGACAATCTATAAATATAATTTTTTTATTTTAGTTTTCTAATTGTGATAAATATGTTTTAAACTGATGGAATATATATTAGTATGTTAATTTAAAAACAAAAAGTCTTATACAATTAAAGATGTGACATAATGCCACTTGTCACCCTTCAATTAAACCAACTTTTTCTATTTACTTTGTTGAAAATATACGTAGTACTAAAATAAATAAAATAAAAAGATACAAGTTTTGGAGCAAAGTATTTAATTCATAAATATGCATATGTGATTAAATTTATATAATCATTTTTTGAGAAGGTAATAAACTAAAATAAATAGTCAATAGTATAAAAATAATCATATATATATACTTAAAATACAGAGTATATTTTACAATGGGGAAATGTATGTTTATAAAATTTTTAAAAAATGAAAAAGTTTTATACAAATGTATTAAAAGAGCTATAAGAAAAACTAATTGAACCAATGAAATATATACACCTCATAAATGAGTGCTTATGTGGATGCATATGTGGCATGTCACATGTCAACACTACAACAAATTAACTCAACTTTATATATATATATATATATATATATATATATATATATATATATATATATATATATATATATATATATATATATATATATATATATATATATATATATATATATATATATATATATATATATATATATATATATATATATATATATATAGGATATATAGGATAAGACATTCTCGGTACATTAAAAAGAAAATAAATGTAGACACATTTTATATTTGCATTCGTTTATATTTTATTGTACCAAGAATATCTTATTAGATAGTTAATATGGAAGGGAGGGTATAATATTTTTATTGATAAACTAGGTTTCCTATCTTGTGTTGGATTAATCCTAAGTTCTAAGGTCCCACCATTAAGAAATGTTAGGGTGTGTTTGGTGAGTTTAACAGAAAGTTTTGATATCTCTGTTATTTGATTTTCAAAATAAGTGTTTGGTGAATAAAAGAAGAAGTCATATTAGGATATCACCAAAATACTCCGCTTCTTCAAATCGGCAATAAGATTGAGATATCAAAGTGAATTCGGCCTCCCTCCCTCCCCCGACAAAAGCTTTCATTTTACTCTTTGCTTTTTAGTGTTTTTCTTTCTTAATTTATTCATATTCATCTCATTGCTCCATCTCTTTTATTTACTACTCGGGTATGTGTTTTTTAGCAATTTTTTTTAGTTTGCATACCTCTTTCAATAGTTCATCATAATTCAAAAAAAATTTGTAAAATATTTTTTTGTCAAATTTGTAATTTGTTAATATTTTGTGTAACACAACTTGATTTCTTAGATGCTCACTAAACAATTGTGACTATGATTTCATTTCTTTTTTCTCCAACCACTTTTGATGCATATATTAAAACTCATATCATTTATTTCAGATTTCAAAACTCATTTCTTATCATATATCAAAACTCATCAAACATGTCCTTAGAGAATGTAAATCTGAATGCTTTTGTCTCTCAAGTTCGTACATACATGTACACTTCTGAGCACAAAAACTCATCATAGACTAACTGTCCAGTAGCTCTTTATACTTATGGATCAACATATGATTGATTTGATTCTTTTAGGAAAAAAGATAAAAATAGGAGTAAACATTGAAAATATATCAAAATAGGACTTTCATGTTTTTTTCTCGAAATAGGAGATAAATACAATTATATTACCAAACATAGTCATGTATATTACCAAAAAATATAGTAATGTGCACATGTACAATGTCACATTACCATTACATTATCATAGTGCGAACTTCTATTTTGAGAATAAAAATTTGACTCTTATTTTGACATTTTTTATGTTTTAGTTCTATTTAGAATGATTTCTCATTCCAATCGTCATTCCAATTGATTCACGTCAGGTTCCTAGTAAATCAAGCTAAGTGTATTGGAGGAAGATAATATTCAGCATTTCATATTCTCTCTGTCTCAAAAACAACGTCTCACTCTAAACGCCGTGTAAAATTTATTTCTTTTAAAATTATTTTATTTTACACATTTGGTATGGAAACAAAAACAAATTACATATTACAAAAACATATATTAAACATTTTTATAAAATAAGATGTAGTAATGATACTTTTTAAATAAAATTATGGACAAAAACACACATATAAATAAAAAATTATGACAGATTAAAAATGTACGGAGTAACCGAGAGATTGTTCTGAACCGAAGTTTCACGTGTGTCACCCCGTTAGATCTACGCTATCGGGTTGTTACGCGTTACTATACCTGGCAAAACGGTCGGTCAGGTCGGGTTCAGGTTCGGTATAATCGGGTTCGGGTTATTTCGGGTTCGGGTCACTTCAGGTTCGGGTCTAAGAGTGCTTGTTCATGACCCAGAGTTATCGGGTTCAGATTGACCCAACGGGTTAAGAGGCGTATTTAAAAATTAAAAATTTTGCTATTTAGAGATCATGTGATCCAAGCATTATTCAAAACAAAGAACAAATCATAAAAGTTTGCACTTCTATTTGCCACATACCAAAAGCGAATTGCAACATACCCAAAAAATCACCTTTTTGCAGCATACCGAAAAATTGCACTAGATGAAAAAATTGAAGATTCTTTCAACATACCCAAAAATATATATACGTTATAAAAAATTGAAATTCTTGCATCATACCAAAACAAAAGAAAAGAATTAAAAGTTGAGTTACACATAGGAGCAACTGAAGTGGATGAAATAGGATTAAAAATTTCACTATTGTTCTGGTGTCTTCTCACCATTTTGATTGAGTCGACATCTAATATCAACGAACAGTGGAAGAGTGGGAGAACTATATATATATATATATATATATATATATATATATATATATATATATATATATATATATATATATATATATATATATATATATATATATTACGCCTTTTGAGAGACTGGAATGTTACTAGGTTTTACGCCTTTTGAGTTTTGAGTAGTCTAATGGGTATATCATATTTTAAATGAATATATAAAACTAAATAACTAATAAAAATAAACAATTAAGTGCATAACCCGTCGGGTCAAACCCGACCCAACCCGTTCTGACCCGAAAATTTAACGAGTCTTCGGGTTCGGGTCGTTTCGGGTACGGGTCGCAAAATCAATGTTCAAAACCCGCTAATTTCGGGTCGGGTTTCGGATTAGTAACGGGTCGGGTCAAATTTTGCCAGGTCTACGAGTTACCCAGGGGCCAATATAACCACTTTTCCTGAATCACACCGCTTTTCATTTCAGCGATCAAAATTCAAAAACTCCATTCCCAATTCCTTTCCTCTTCTGCACGCCAAAATCTCGGCTGTTTCTGTACTTTTTTCCCGGAATCCATACCATGGGAGCTTCACAGAGTCGCGAAGGTCTCGATCTCTCCGACGAATCGGACTACGGTGAGGAGGGAGGCGGAAGCGATGATGAGTACCGAGACGCGGAGGAGGAGGGTTTGCCGACGAAGAAACCTGCACAGGTTAGTGGCGAAACCCTAGACGAGGTGGGATCGAAGCTGGCGGCGTTGAAGCTCAAATACTCTTCGGTCGGGAGCCCTAGCAGTTGCAGTAAGGCCGTCAAACTGTACTTACACGTCGGTGGTAACACGCCCAAGGCTAAATGGGTGATTAGCGAGAGATTTGCCAGATATGAATTTGTGAAGAGTTCGGAGGGTGAGGATGAGGAGGAATCGGGGTTTTGGGTTCTGAAGGTGGGGAAGAAGATCGCAGCTAGAGTTTCCACGGATATGCAGTTGAAGATGTTCGGGGAACAAAGGAGGGTTGATTTCATCGATAATGCAGTTTGGGCATTGAAGTTCTTCACTGACGAGGAGTACAGGGGTTTCCTCACTGAGTTCCAGGACTGTTTGTTTGAGAATGTGTATGGGATGAAAGCAACTGAGAATAATAAGATCAAGGTTTATGGGAAAGACTTCGTGGGGTGGTTGAAGCCGGAGGAAGCTGATGAGATGATATGGGATGACCCTGATGCAGGACTAGGAGGGAAAAGCCCGGTTATCCCTGCCAGAGATAGTCAAGAGTTGCTGAAGGAATTCGAAGAAGCATCTTCAGGTGGAGGGATACAGAGCCTGTCCCTTGGGGCTCTGGACAACAGCTTCCTGGTGGATTCTTCCGGGGTTCAAGTCGTCAAGAATTTTAGCCACGGAATACATGGGAAAGGTGTGTATGTGAAATTCGAAGATAGAGGTCATAGGAGCGGCGGAAGTGCTGCAATGGCAACGCCTAAGAAGGCACTTTTGATGCGTGGCGAGACTAATATGATGCTAATGAGTCCTTTAGAGAAAGGTAAGCCTCATTCCACTGGCCTTCACCAATTAGATATCGAGACTGGGAAAATTGTGAACGAATGGAAGTTTGAGAAGGATGGGACTGAGATAACAATGAGGGATATTGTGAATGACACAAAAGGGTCTCAATTGGATCCTTCAGAATCAACCTTCTTGGGGTTGGATGATTGTAGGCTTTGCCAGTGGGATATGCGCGATAGGAAGGGGATGGTGCAGACGTTAGCCAACACGAGCTCACCCGTATTGCATTGGACGCAAGGACACCAATTCTCTAGAGGAACAAATTTTCAGTGTTTCGCAACGACAGGGGATGGATCGATTGTTGTTGGGTCACTGGATGGGAAGATCCGTTTGTATTCTAAGACTTCAATGAGGCAGGCAAAAACTGCTTTTCCTGGACTTGGTTCTCCCATCACTAACGTGGATGTCACGTATGATGGGAAGTGGATTCTGGGAACGACGGATACGTATTTGATCCTCATATGTACAATGTTCACCGATAAGGATGGGAAAACAAAGACCGGATTTTCTGGTCGCATGGGGAATAAGATTCCAGCTCCAAGGTTGCTGAAGCTGACTCCTGTCGATGCGCATATGGCTGGACAAGATAACAAGTTCCATGGTGGCCATTTCTCTTGGGTAAGGATGATTTTGCACTTACAATTGACTACATTTTCATTGTTAAATGCGAGATTTGGGTGCCAGCAGGCAGTATCATAGTAGCATTAGTTGAGCTTTGTGGTTCAGGGGATATGCATTGTGAGATTTTTGCAGGTGACAGAAAGTGGAAGGCAAGAGCGGCATTTGGTGGCAACTGTGGGGAAGTTCAGCGTGATCTGGAACTTCCAGCAGGTGAAAGACACAGGGCATGATTGCTACAAGAATCAGCAAGGGCTCAAGAGCTGCTACTGTTATAAGATAGTTCTCAAGGACGAGTCCATTGTTGAGAGTCGGTTCATGCACGAGAAGTTTGCCATTAGTGACTCCCCAGAAGCTCCTCTGGTTGTGGCAACTCCAATGAAGGTCACTTCTTTCAGCATGTCCGGTGGCAGGAAGCGCTGAATGAAGTAAATACTTTGGCTGCACAACAGGGATGACTGATGAGGAGGATTTCTCGTTTTAATCCACTTCTTCCTCCTTCTTCTTTTCTTTCGAATTATTACTCTATTTGCTTTTGAGTTGTACGTAGTATATCATCTTTACCACCTAGACACATGAGTACATGACACCAAAATATATAGTAGGTTGAGTGTTTCTTCATTTCCTGGCTTCAACTCCGTTGTCAAATTTTTATTTGCCTTTGTTTATAAAAAAATGGACACACTTGCCCTTTCACTTTTTTCTTTCCTCATACCAAGCATTGACTTTCACTTTTTTCTTTCCTCATACCAAGCATTGATGGTAAACTTGTCTATTTGGCACACACACAAAAAAGTCCTCAATTAAAAGTTGTTTTAATTAAAGGTTGTTTTCTATGTTCAGTCCTTAATTGTAAGATATTACATAAATGATTTTTTATTTTTGAATATTATTTCATATGGAGTAAATAGTCTTTTAGGTCAAATATGACAATATATATTTGAAGGATCGAATATGGAATAGTTATCAAAAATTGAAAGTTATTTATGTAGTGTCTTAAAATTTGAGACTAAATAATAAAAAAGGATTGTTGGTATAGATCATTTATCAAATTTACTCATTCAGTGATAACCATTTTTTTGCTTGTTTTAAGCCGCTTTTAAAGTTTTGGGTGGTAAGCAAAACAAAATTTGGGTTTGTTGTTTGCCCTATTTAAAATTCGATGTGATAAAAAAAACTAATTTCTATATCAAATATCAAAATTGTACAAACAACTTAAATACTCTCTCCGTCCTCCTGTATTTGTCCACTTTCATTTTTACACACCATCCAATACACTTCTTTAATCCATTTTATCTTGTAATTTGTATATTAAAAAATTATAAAAATTATACTCCGTATATTAATAATCTATATGTTAAGACAAATCAAACAAGATTACACATGACTATATTTAGGCTTACACATTGAGAGAATTTGATGAGTCAAAGTGCTTAGATGAACAATTCTAAAAGTCAAATGTGGACAAATACAGGGGGAGTAAGTAATACTACGTAAGTGGAACTTATGTTTCTCTATCCCTCCCCCCACCTATTTCAACCCCCACAGTATAAAAGAATCAAATTTCAAAAAAATTCTCCAAAAAAAGTAGTCCCTTTTGAGCATTTGTTCATTTGATTTAATTTAGGAAAATGTTACGGAGTAAGTCACAGCCCTATATGTAAAGAAGCTTTCTATTGGTTAAAATAATATTCCCCTCTTTTAAACCCTGCCATCCTTTTTTTTCTTCTCCATCAATCAATGAAAAGCACCCACGCACTAGAGCTGTGTTTAGCAAAACCCACTAGAGCTGTATTTAGCAAAACCGATTAACTTATTGTCAACTCTCATCAAGCCATCAAACAAGAAGAGCCAACAAGTAAATTAATCAGTATTAGCCAAAAAAGAGCATTATTCATATATTATTTGTGATAATTTGCAACTTATGATATAAAAGTTGTACAACGATCAAATATGATGTAGTTATATTTCGATGAATAGTATTTTTTGTATTTTGAAACCACGGAGTACTTACGGAGCATGGCTGAATTTCAAGAACCTATTATATCACGTATGGTACACTAACTTTGACGTTTATTTCACTTCGGTATACAAACTTTGTTTTCTATCAGAAAAGTACACCAACTTACCAGTTTCTTTCACGGACCGACCGTATTTTAGCCAGTTTCCAGGTATTCAGCCAGTTACCCATCCTACGTGGATGCCTACTCAGCGCACCCATTTAAATAACTCCCTTCTTCTCTCTCCTCCGGAGCAGGAACTAACTCTCTGGGCTGATATGCGCGGCGGCGGCGCTGTGGCTGTTATTCCCGCTGCTCTGTGGTTGCCCGGCGACGTTGTTGTTATCACCACCGACGTCTCTCCCTCTTCCTCCACCTAGTGAAAAGAAGCCAGCCATTTGTTCCCGGAGACCCGGGGTGGGATCGGCAAGACCCACAATCCATAAGTCCGTCCGCCGGCGCTAATCCATGAGCAGAACTGGAAGAGAAGGCCTAATGACAACAAATCTGGTAAGGGTCTGAAGAGTAATTCCAGGAAGGGGAACATCATGAGTTCTTCCTCAATTTTTTTCCAATTTCATTTGTTTTAATTCTAAACCCTTCTTTAATGTAATCAATTTTGAATTTTTAATTTAAATTCTATTTTTTAATTCCAATAATTAATATTTAATTAATTTTAATCTTTTTATTTTTTCCTCAATTTTTTTTTCAATTTCATTAGTTTTAATTTTAAACCCTTCTTTAATGTAATCAATTTTAAATTTTTAATTTCAATTTTATTTTTTAATTCCAATAATTAATATTTAATTAATTTTAATCTTTTTATTTTTTCCTCAATTTTTTTTCAATTTCATTTGTTTTAATTCTAAACCCATCTTTAATGTAATCAATTTTGAATTTTTTAATTTCAATTTTATTTTTTAATTCCAATAATTAATATTTAATTAATTTTAATTTTTATATTTATTTTTGTTAATTTTGAATTTATACTTTTATTTTATTGATAATTATTTATCTATTTTTATTAATAAAAAATATTTGCATTAATTTATATAATTTTTATATTAAAAATGATAAATATTGTAAAAACAAATGGAAGAGTAGGCATCCACGTAGGATTGGTAACCAGCTAAAATACCTGAAAACCGGCTAAAATACCGTCGGTGAAAGAAACTCGTAAGTTGGTGTACTTTTCTGATAGAAAACAAAGTTTGTATACCGAAGTGAAATAAACGTTAAAGTTGGTGTACCATACGTGAAATTTACCCACGAAAATAGAGTCAAAAGAGAACACAAAGTGGTAAAGCATAATACATAGGATTCATATCATGTCACACTAAAAAATCACAATGCATCTCGAGCAGCGATTCTGCAGGTGATTGCATCTCTCAACGACGATATTTCCAGCTCCACATTTGATATCTTGAAATGCTGGTGAATATTTTATATATTAAAAAAACAGAATGGGAAATACAAATTGTTAAAAAGAAATTGTCCTAATTCATGCCCAAGAATAGGAAATTATTACAAGGGGAAAAAAGCAGCACAAACCTTTTGAATCTGAGCTTGGTTTGCCCTTTGCTCTAATTCCTTCAGGTCAATCTTTGTACCTTTGATCAGTTTCTCTATGGCTGCAACCTGAAGAGAGAAATTATTTGACTCTAGAAAGCCAGCCACAGATAGAGTGAAAAGGCTTGAAGGACAAGATTCTCTTCATTTTTTGCTTTTCCTTTAAAGAAAAAAAAACAATTCCTCTGCTTCCCCATCATTTATTATATGGTATAGACGTATAGTTCTGCTGTGGATTGTGAATAAGAAAGTATTTACATCACAAGCTTGTGTCTCTATAATTCATATGATGGTCTAAAACTGGTCATTAAGGTTAAAGCCATATGGAACAGATCATGGTCTCTATGATTCTAGCCTACCATATAGGCCTTGCCTTCTCCACATATAAATAAATAATACTCCCTCCGTCCCTAAAAGATTGCCACTGTTTGACTTTTTTGGTCAAACTATAACACCTTTGACACAAATTAAATATAGTTTAAAATATTCAAATATTATAAAAATTTGATATTTCAAAACCATATTTTAAAATAAACTCAATTTTACTAAATTTACATTATAACTAAATATACTCTTTTCATAATTCACGGTCAAAGGGTGCCACGGCAATCTTTTAGGGACGGAGGGAGTAAAATTTACTCATGAAAAGAAATGAATCTCAGCACGGAAATTGCAGAAGGTAGTATTCTTACCTCATCAGCTGAGGCACCAAAGCGAGCTGCAAGGATGTAAGTTGAGTTGTCTGAGATGCCGCATCTTCTCAAGGATTCTGATATCTAACAACACCAGAAATGGTCCAAACCATTGAACAAAGACAAGTAAAGTATTCCACAAGAAGGTAACATCGAAACATCCTTACATGTTTGGATCCAGAGTAGTTATAAACAAGTTCAGAATGCAGAGTTCGTGTGGTAAGAGAGTCCCGTGATTTAGCCAGAAGTGCTTTATGTGCAGCTGCTAAAAGGGGGAAAATGTCTGGAATCTATACATGGTGTTCGAACTGATCAGACCCCGCATAGAAGTCGAAAACAACAGAGACTGAAATACAATACGATGAGTTTAGCTAAACATGGGGTGGGACTAAAGTGTGCTCACAAGTGACGCATTTAGCAGTGCTACTTCTGGCTCTAATGTTCCAGCTTGCATAGATTCCAGTAGCTCTCTGAAAACCAAGAATATAGAATATAAAATTAACTCAAAACTTTTGGCATACTTTTGAATTGAGATTTGCATAAATGAAAAATTGATGTGAACCCCATCTGCATTCTCTGCATGTAATTGCCTTCTGTGCTTCTTCTAAACTGAATGAATTCTTTGCCAGATAATATAACCACCTATAGTTGTAACTTTGTATCTTGTAAGCGGCGATTGAATCATATGTTTCACTTGGATTCTTACATAAAGTGATTACTTTGTGGCTACAATCTATCATACAATTGGTGCACAATCTGGAGTGATTTTCAGGCTTTTGCAATATAGAAACCACTACTAATCTGACCATATCCAGTCTGAGATAAAAGAACTATCTGGATTTTGGCTTGACAAAGAATCTAACACACATCACGACATCAAATGTGGGTGGACGTATGGAATCCGTTGTTTGTACTTACACATACGCTTAAGTATCAAAACATAATTTGGATTACTGTTTGGCATAGGGGCGTGAAAACGTAAATGAATCATTGAAATCCCATGAGATCAGCATTCCAAATGCTAAGCAGCCTTTAACAATGAAACACAATGAAGTGCAGTGAAGGTGAAATAAATCATCCCCCCCCCCCTCAAATTTCAAACATGGCTAGTTAGCTATCAGAAAATCAGCTCGAGCTGGAACGAGAAAGAGAAAAAAAGAGCCATACTTGGAATTGGAAACGCCGGAGAAGAGGGCAAGAGACAGACTACTACCGCCGACTTCAAATGAAGACTCCATTGTAAACGGGCTAGGGTTTTCCAGCCACGCCCTTTCTGAGATTATTACTTTGGAGACGTCCGCAATGGGGTGTGGCGAGAAGGAAAAGCCTCGCGGCGGTTAGAAGGGATAGGCAAGTAGCCAGGCAAGTACCGTTCTAAAGTTTGGACACACTTCGATTCGTCTTTATAATGTTACTTTTATTTTAATAAAAATGATAGGAAATGTATCCTATTTGTCCCTCTAATTCTCCGTAACCATAAAAAAAGGTAAGAGACTGAAAAAAATTAAATAAATAAAAATAAAATAAAATTGAATGATAGAGAAAGAAGTGGGGACAAATGGGTACACCATGTACCCTTAGCATTGCTCCTATTTTAAGAGGACAAAAATGTAATCTGTAGCTAATCGGTTTAAATTGGAACACACCGGTCCCCAGGGCTTGCTATTTGTATCGTTCCACCTAGGGGTGGACAAGGTTTTGGTCCGGTTCCAGTTTCAGAACCGGCGGTTTCGGTACGGCCACCCCATGGTTTAAATAATGAAAAATGAATAGTACAAAAACAAATGCATTTACTATCTTGACGGTTCAAAAATAAACGACGAGGTAAAGAATCGTAAACAAACTTTCGAAGGAGTTTATATAACTCACCTAAAAAACTAATTATTCCCTCCGTCCTAAAATTAACTTCTCACTTTCCTTTTCGGGCCGTCCTAAAATTAACTTCTCACTTTCTAAAAAAAAGTAAGTTTTCTCTTATCAAAAGACATAAATACCCTTACACTTAATTCTCCAACCTCCCACCACTACCAACCACATTTAATCAATAACCCCCTCACCCCCTATTCTTATCCGATCATCTCACCTCCTCTATCCTTTGCACTTCTCTTCAACCAAGAAGGCAAAAACCTTAGATCTTATTTACATCACATTTCGTCGTTCTCTATTTTTTCACGGAGGGGATGCCCCTTTTCTCTCCATCTTCTCTCTTCGTCTTCATCTTTGGTTCTTTTCAAAATAATAATTTCATCTTCCGGTTTATTGGGCTAAAATGACGAGGGGGTAGAAGATTTAGCAATAACGAACTCGATTTTTAACGGTGACATAGCTTTGATGTTTTCAAAAATTGATGAACTTCGATGATGGTTGACGAGCTCTGCCGAATTCTATGTCGCAGATCTTGAAATGGGGTGCCCCTGAAGTCACCTGGATTGGGGATGCCGTTGTGGAAAATTGATACGATTTTGTGCCTCCAAGAATCAAATTTGTTTCCATTTGGTTGTGGTTTAGATTTGTTTCAATTTTGTCACCCTGGTCTGTGTTGTAAAAATCCATTCTTTCCAATTTAGAATTATTTGCAAGATGCACTTTAATTTTAATTTCATTTTTTTGGATTTTGTTTTTCTCTAAGAGTGTGATTAGGTGCCTCTAGTTGATGTGTATTCTACTCTACTGAAGAGATTTTGGAAGGAGTGAAAGAGTTAGGGGCATTTTGGGAAAGTCAATACAATTTTTATCCCTCCTTAAAAATGAGCTCCGGTCAAACCGGAAAGTTAAATATAGGACGGAGGGAGTACAATTTAAAAAAATACAAAGTTATTCACTTATTCCTCGGAACTAGGGATATCCTCTGTGGTTGCATTCATGTAATTTTCGATATTAATGTCGTACCCGGACTATTGAGCTCGACGTCTTACCAAGAGTCAATCTCATTTGCAAACAAGTGTCTCTAGTGATTCAGCGCTAAGACAACTTTGGTAGTCGGTTAGAATGTTGCCGCTAGAACTGAATTCTTGTTCCATAGCTACGGTTCAAACCGACATGGATAAGATTTGTCTGGCTAGCATTCCTAGAGACGGGAACATGTGTTCATTCTCCTTCCACCATTCGAGGACGTCGAAGGCCATGTCGTTGTCTTCGTCGTAACCGCATGGCACCCATTTGTACATAGCAAGTTCGTTGTGCAAACTTATAGTTGTATCACTTGAACTCGTTGATGCAGAATTACGCTTACCTTTTTTTGTCAAGACGCCACCGGCTATCCCTCTAAAATCTTTTTTTGCCTTGGGAGGTGAAGGAGGTGTTGTTTCTTCCAAGGCATTATCGTAAATCGCTTGAAATTCTTTAAATAATGACTCAAAAAGATCAATAGCATTATCTCACTCTTTTGTTCATTCTATTAAATGATCATAAAAATAACTATTTTCATCTAAAAAACAACTATAGTAATACTTCATCAGAATTTTAAAATTATGAATCTCAAAACGAGGATCACAAATAATACCAATTTAATAAATATCAGGAATATACAAATAATAGGCACGACATCTATCCTTCATAGGAAATCAGATGGGGGTACAACTGTGGATCAGATAAAATTTCACGAAAACATGTTCCAATTTTAATACAGTCTGAAAAAAATCGATTTTTGTAAGTTTGTAAACATGCGAGAAAGTAAGAGTTACATTATTAAAAATTTCTAACACGACATTCAATTTTTCAACAATAATAAATTCACTCAAATCAACCATATAATGAAGTTCGAACCTGAGAAATGAAGCAAGTTCCTCTTTGTAGTCCAGAATCTGTGAAATCAACTTATATGTACTATTCTAATTAATTATAATGTCTTTAGCAAAAGTTATTGGTTTTCTAATCCTAGATTTACAGTAAGACTTTCATGCCTTCGAATGAATACGACTAGCCCAAATCTTTCTTAACTGACCCTTAATATTGGTCAAAACTCTCCTCATAGCTTCCAGTCCCTGCTAAACACACAAATTTAAAACATGACAGACACACCTTTGCTATAGATTTCTACCCATGAGGCTGCTAGAGGGGCAAATTTCTCTAAGTCTAAGAATGAAAGCAGCATTATTAGTAACATTATCAAAACCAAAGGAAAAAAATTTATCAAGTAAATTTTATTCTTGGAGAATACGCTCAAGCAAAAAGAAAAATATTATCACCTGTGTAAGATTCATTGAAATCATGAAATGTAAGAATATGTTTATGCATAATCCAATCACTATCTATCCAATGACATGTAATACTTACGAGGTGCAATTGACGTAGGTGGAGGGATGAGTTTGGGTCAGAACTTGGCGGGGGGTTTACCGGGGGGTTAGGGAGGTAGGAATCATCAATTTTATGAACGGAGCTCCGTAAGGGGGCAGTGGCTTCAGTGGCCACTGGAATCCGGTGGACATGAAACCGAGCCGTTAATTTAAATGCTAAAAGTATAATTTGACATCAACATTATGTCTAGTGATGTATTCTGATATTGGTTAAGCGAATAACACAAAAATAATGACTATGATTGTGGGCTAGGATTCTGACAAAAGACCGCATTTGCAGACTATGGTTGTAGTAGAAAGCAACTGTAATTCATAAACGACGCAAACAGAATATCCTTTGGAATTGTGTTTGACAAAAAAGATACTCCCTCCGTCCCAAATTATAATACCTGTTTACTATTCACAGGGTCAAACTTCATTCACTTTCTTTCTCTATTTTCGTTAGCAATTTGATAAAATAAAATATTATTGTCACTACTAGTTTTGTAGATCTTTTGATGTAGTTTTTTAATATGTAATTTTTATTTTTTAATTATATACCATTTGTCATATAAAATGATTTGAAAATAATTTCAGTCAAACATCGTAAACCGAAACAGGCGTTATAAAATGGGACGGAGGTAGTATATTATTATTGTGAAATTACGTTTTTAGCCTTCAAATCAACACCAACATGATAAAAGATCAAAAAAGATGTCCTGGAAAAATACTTATAAAAGAAGGACCACTGAGATAATATTTGATAATAATGTTCTAAGTGTTGCGGGAGATGTATATATTCTTTATTGATAATAGCTCCCTTATATAGGGAAAAGCAGCCTAGGGTTTTACAAGAGAAGGCCCACGGGCCAGTACAACTGTATTACACAATATAAAGTAAATTGTATCTACACAACAGCACACTAATTTACAAATTCCTTCAACACTCCCCCTTGTGCTGAGCTGTAGGTAGAATTGCAGAATCTTGATCTCTTGTCAAAATCTCGTCAAGTGTCAAAACCATGTGAATAAAAATCTTGAACAAAGAAGAGAATACCGATCCTTACTTCGATCGCTATGTTCATACATATTGTTACCTCATTAAAAACCTTACCAAGTAACAAAACCCAATGGGAAAAATAAACCTTGGTTTAAGGAAAAGAGTGTAACATAAAATTAAAGCTAGACCTTTGAATATTCAAATCTCCCCTGAAGTGTACATGATCAAGGAAGATCCGAAAGTCTACGCATCCCAATATTTTTAACATGTTTCTCAAATGTGGCTTTAGGTAATGATTTGGTGAATAAATCTGCCACATTCTCCTCAGATCTTATTTGATTTACTTGGATCTTGAGGAGAGTTTGTTGTTGTTGATTATAGAAAAATTTGGGAGAAATATGTTTGGTGTTATCATCTTTGATAAATCCAAGTTTCATTTGCTCGATGCAAGC